GCTGACGGAGAAAGTATTTGTCAATCCAGTGGAATAACTTTCTGCGAATTAGTAGGAAGTCCTCTGGAAGATATCTATCAATTGGGTAAGGAGTTATGGAGGGTTAAGTTCCAGTGACCAAAAAAGGATAGTGATTATGACTACCTTTGCAAATGCAACCTGCAGATAAAACTGATCATTTCATCAATAATGAAGACAATTAGAGCCAACTCAGTTCAACTTGAGAACTAGGCCACAAGTTTAAAGACTCTAAAGATCTGATAACTACTATTGGGAACAGTATAGTCCAGAGTTAGTTATATCGTAATTAGCCAAGAGGGTGTTGTGATTTTCAGGGTCTCCAGGTGTTCGCACCTTTCAAGAATACCTGACGTTGCAAGTTGTATTCAAAAAAGTACATAGTTGTATGATAAATAGATGTAGTCCACGAACACTCAGACGTGGAATATAAATATCAAAGTGTCTCCCAAGCTTTAGATATAACCAAGCAATAGAGAAGAGACCTTAACAACATAATATTGTTTTACAATTCTATTTTACTTTACCGAATTTACTTCGCTCTTTGTAGTTATAAACAAAAAGAGTGAACTTGAGCCTTCCTAGACAATCTCCGTCTACAGAAATGAAATTCGATTGATCTAGACAATTCTGAAGTCTATCAGATTCTCTCCACCTAATACTCCCAATACTTCTAGTAGGACAGTAAGGAGAAGACTTGAAAAAAAGCATCTTAGAAAGTGGATATTACAAGAAAGAGTTCATTTAAATAAGAATCTAGCTCAAGAGGGGTTAGAATGGGTATTAGCTCATAGGCATTGGACAAAGGAGATGTGGAGAAGAAAGGCAATGTGGGAGGATGAGGTAGCTGTAGAAAAGAGAGGAGGAAAGAAGAGAAAATGTGTTTTCAGATGCTTATATAAGAAATGGAATAAGGATTGTATTGAACCTAAGAATAGGAGAGGGGAGAGAGGGATTAGTCAGATGATAACTGGTTGTTTTTATAGTCAAACTCATGGTCTTTTTTTGCCTGTTTTTCCTGATCCTTCTTCTGCTAGAAGTGGAGTTACTAGGAAGTCAATTATTGATGTTTATGATCATTATGACTTTCTAGGCATATGGGAGAATATTAGAGAAAAGGCTGGAGAAGAAGAGGTATTTTTTATCATTGACAATGCTAAGACTCACTTGACTTTTAGAAGATGGCTCAGAGGACAGGCAATTACACTGATGGAAATTCCTATCTATTCACCAAATCTCAATCCAATAGAAAATATTTGGTCTCTGGTGAAAGGTAAGCTTCACAAGTACTACCCTGAGCTATATTCTATCAAGTGTGATGTTAATGTGGTCAAGAAGATAATAGTAGAGGCCATTACTCATTGTTGAGAACTTCTTGACCTAAAGGTTTTGGATATTTTAGCTGAATCAATGGTGGATAGAATAGAGGCAATTATTAAGGCTGATGGATGGTATACCCAATATTAAATTCAACTATGTATTTACATCTTGTAATTTTTTTTTGGTTTTCATGATAGTAGATTGGTGGAAGAGTGTAGTTGTCATCGCCAAAGATTTTACTCTGTTGAATGGTGATTAATTTTGTCTACGCACAATACTAATACTTGTTTAATTTAGATTTCCACCACTTATAATTCCAACCCTATTACCATGCTTTTAATTTTCCGATATTTGCTACCGGAATCATTATCAGTATTCTGAGAATGTTAGGCAGAAACAACCTGATAGACTTCAGAGTTGTTTAGGCCAATCAAGATTCGTTTTTGTAGAGTGAGATTGTCTAGGAAAACTTAAATTATACTTATTTCGTTTATAACTACTAAGAGCAAAGTAGTAGGTTAAGTAAAATAAAATTGTAAGAATAATATTATATTGTTAAGGTCTCTTCTCCATTGCTTAATGATGTTTAAAAGCTTGGGAGGTACTTTGATATTTATATTCCACGTCTGAGTGTTCGCAGACTATATCTATCTATTATATAACTATGTATCTTTCTTATTGATAACATATAATGGCAGGTATTCTTTCAATTATGTGAACACCTGAAAACCCTGAAAATCACCACACCCTTTTCGGTAATTACAATATTGCCAATCAGGAACAATACTGTTCCCAATAGTAATTATCTAATTGTCAGAGTCTTTAGACTTATAACCTAGTTCTCAAATCAAACTAAGTTAGCACTAATTGTTTCTGTCATTAATAAAATGATCAGTTTCATCTTCGGGTTATATCTGCGGAGGTAGTTATAATTGCAACCTTCCTAAATTACCTAACTTCAAATCTTTATAATTCCATATTCAACTGACAGATTTCTTCCAGAGGACTTTCTACTAATTCGCAGGAGGCTATTCTACCGGATTGATAGATAATTCCTCAGTCAACAACCCTTAGTTGCTCTGGGTAACAGGATGTTCATTGCTGTACTAGTATCGAGAACCATTTCCTTGACTACAATGCATGCCTGGACCTAGTTGTAATATTCCGTGAAGTCCATTGACTTCCATAGTAGTGTTCTTCTGAGCTCTAGACTCTTCTAGCTATTATAGAGTAGGTGCAAATTTATTGGTGTCTCATTGAGATTTTTTATCATTCGATACCATATCTTTGTGTGAGAATATCCCATTGCTTATAGCTCATGCCAAAGATGTCACATCTTTAAAGCCTAGTAACTCTCTGAGTAGTTGGCAGATTTACTCTGTTCTACTTCCCAGACTTAGCCGAAGGTTACCTCCTATATATCCTGCAAGCAGGGTCTAGTCAAATAGACGGCAGTGATATATATAGTATTATCCTGACACTTTCAATTCTCTGGCCCTATAATTATAGGATGCAACTAAGATAGATATATATGATAAGATGCGGGCCCTGTAAGGGGGCCAGAAGGGGGTGTTGGAGACCAGAGATTCCGATTCTAGGTGGAGTTGCCCTACTTAGGGTAGTTCCTAGGTATCAGATCCCAATATTTCTAACAGAGAAGAGTACTCTTTGTCTCCTATTATTCTGGCTTGCTAACCCTAATCAATTAAAAGAGGATCTGAGATTATTTGGTCATTCAATATCATGTCTCTCATCTATCTTTAATGATGTGGTTGTACATTTAGTTAAGCAGTATAAAAGGCATTTGAGGTAGGATTCTTGGCACCTAAGTGCCGAGAAAATTGAGAAGTATGTAAGGGTAGTGGAAGAGAAAGTAGGAGTAAAAGGTGTTTGGACTTTATCGATGGAACTATGAGAGCTATATGTCGACTAGTTAAGTTTCAGTGAAGGTATTATTCAGAATATAACAAGTGTCATGCTTACAATGTTCAAGCAGTTATGACCCCAGATTGATTACTCTTCTCTCTTATAGGACCATGTCCTAGTCATGAGGGTGACTGGAGAATATACTTAGAATTAGGACTTGAGCAATATCTTCATGCTGTTAATGATGGCCAAAATTCTAATAAGAGGTAGTATTTGTATGACAATCCTGTATATGTACAATCCTATAGGATTATTTGCAGATATAAGCCTTCTGTTGAATATCCATTATCTCCTGCTTTACAGTCAGTAAATGCTCACATATATAGTATGCGTATTAGTGTTGAGTATGGATTTGCTAAAACAATGAATCTTTGGAGATTTAATGGTTATAAAGAGTGGACTACGTAGTGGACTCTCTCCTATTGCAAGTTATTTTATAATTGCATTTTTATTATCAAATATTTATTCCTGTATTTACAGGAATGAAACATGTATTCGCTTTCATTGCAAACCTCCTTTCTTAAATCAATATCTTACTCTTTCGGTTTAAATACATAATATATTTTCTATTCAAAATTTCCCCCTTCTGATTGTGAAATTTCCTCCCTATCTGTATTTTCAGCATTTAGTTTTTTTATAATTGCTTCCAACATTCGATTTCCTTGCTCTTGCTGCACTTTCATCATCTTTCTCTCCTCCAAATCAAGTTTCATTCTCTCTTCTAAAAGCTGTATATGATCCTCCAGTTCTTCCAATTGGCTTCCTCCAGAACCGAACTTCTCTGCTACCATTTTTTACAGAGTCACTTAGGCTCTCAACTGTATAGCTCATACTCTAAATCTCTTCCTTATCTTATATTTCATGTATACATTTTCGAGTTTTCTTCCAAAGTTGACCAATCTGTCGAACAGTATTTTCCTCCTGTTCTGCTATCATTACTGATTGACTTCTACTACCAACAGATTGGTCTTTGGCATGTAATCCATCATTTTTATCTGTAAGAACTTCTGGGTTACTAAAATTTCTCCGTATAGCACTCATGCCTGTGCCAGTACCTACTCTTTTATCTTTTCCTATTACATATTAGCCTTCTAGTTTATTAATTCTTTAGTGGAATTTATTACCACCCTCAGTTCCTTCATCACTATTAGGTTCATCATCATCCTCTTCATCTTCAATATCTGAATGGTAGCACTTCTTATGAGTACTCTGTAATAAATTAAACCAGTGTCTCAGTGCCTCTTTCTGCTTCTTTTCAACCTGTGCTTGTGTTATTCTACTCTGCTCTCGTTCATGCTGTCAGACATTTTCGACTTCAATCCACTTGCCAACTGCTTTATTAAACTCTTTATCCTCTTACACTGTTCCAGACTCTTGACTTTCGATTTTCAGCTGTGCTCAACATGCTGTTACAATACCTCTTACTGTTCCTATATTTCCAGTTTAGAATTTTAAACCAATAACTTAAATGGGTGTTATATACCTGCAGGATCTTCCAACCTAACATTTGCTTCCTGCAATAAGAGTTGTGAAATTGTCGCCCAAAACTGTGTCTTTTTCCCTGGAATGAAATCTCCTTAATTTTCAACATACAACTTAACGAGCATAACCTTATTTTCAGCCAACATATAGGTACGCCGATGTGTCAACTCTGATGTGATAGCAGGTGCCGTGGTTAAAATCTCCATCAAATATGAAATGGTGAGGTAGAGGTCGTTTTTGGTGGTAAAGTAAGGCTTGTTTGATGCAGTTGGTTTGATTCAATATTCATCATCTTTTTCTATTACATGTGCCCAGGCACTAACAAACCACACTAGCTGACAAACTTTTATCCCAACTTTTCACCTTATCAGCGAAATCCCACTTTTTCCCATCTGCTTATTGTCACCACGATAGCGATCCCAAATTCTTGATTGCGAAATCCCCCTACTATTAAAGCACAGTAGTAGTAACTCAAACTCAACGGCCGCCCGCGGAGCTCGGGTCAGAAAATCATAGGTATACACCCCCCTCTCCCTGGTCACCCGCATGAGCCTCCTCCTCCTCCATCGTGCGCGCGGGAGGCTCCGGCCTTGTTATAGCCATGGAATCTCCCTCCTCCCCCTCCTCCCGCCCTCCCCCCGGTTGGGTATCCACACTCCCCCCTTCTCCATTTATGGCATTAGCAGAATTTCGCAGGGTAGCGTGGTCTGTCGGGAAACCTCTTCTTCGGATTTCCTCAAGAATCATCTGAACTCTTTGCTTTTGGCGCTGAATGGTGATTTCGTTATCGTCAATTGCCTCCTTGAGCTCTGGGTCGTTTTGGAATTCTTGTAGCGCTATGTTTGAGCGAGCGAGATGGTAGAGTGAATTTTGCAGGCGAGCAGCTTCTGCATGGAGTTGTTCCAACTCGAGTTCTTTGATTGCTACTAGGAAAGCTTCCTAGAGTTAATAAATTAGCTTAACAATATCCCCAAAACAGATAATTTAGAGGCAATTACCGGGGTAATTGGGGCTGATGTAGCGCTCATATCGGGTTTGTTGGAAGCTCGGATATTACCCAGATGTCCGTGATGTTGGAACTTTAGGAAGAAACAATCTCTCTCCTACGTCATTAGAGGGATTGTACTATGCGCCAAGACATAAACAAAGCTACTCACTGAGTCCCTTCTTTCCTGACGAGAATAGAAACAGAGGTTAGGAATTCACAGGTAGTGGAATCCAGGTTCGGTCCGGTGTTGGGATTCGTGATCGAGAAATCGTGTGATCAACTGTATCTCTGTCCACAGATTCCTCTGGGGTCACTGCATCATACAGATCTCGCTGATCTATCCCTGTTCCTTGGACTACGCGGATCTCAACCCACCATCAGATTTGAGACTTTTTGTAGAGGAAAAGAAGCGCTAAATATTTCTAACTTTAATGCGACTACTGCTATATTGTGCCGAATAGAGAGGGGGGAAATGGGGGGGGGGTTACATATCATGCGGAAGGTGGGTGAATGGGCATCTATTATCCACTCGTACGTGCTGATGTGCGCAGAATTATTACCTCAGCTATAAAAACGCAATACCACCAAATTACAGCAAGTTCTTAGCTTCAAGTTCAACACATTTCACACTGTGAGCCCGGAAAAACCCACTATATTTGACCAGGGCACTTCCTCGGTAGGAGCTTGAGGATTTGGAACAATCATTATTTAGTAGTTTGGCCTACACCGCACTTGCTCGGGAGGTGCACAAAGGTTTTTGAAGAAAGATCGCCAACCTCCTGTCGGGATGGAGGTGATTGGCATTATGCTGGGTAGCGGTGGATATCTCATCAACTTTTATACCTCTTCATATATTTGGGGCGGTACTATTCAGAAAAAACTGTTTAATTGTGTTTAATTGGAACTTTAGCTAGAAGTTCTCTCTCTCCAAGTCCCTCCCCTTATCCCACCTAGAGGAAACTGCTGTCACGATGCCATTTAAGTGGTCCCTCACCGAAACCACTGTTCTAGCCGAAACGGGCACATGCAAATAGTCTATCCACTTTATCCATTCAGTGAAGCGCCGAGGAATACTGCCATACGCTCTAACCGCCGGCCGAAGCCCTTCCATGGTCCGGCTGTGATGGGAGCTGTGAGGGTAGCTAGTGAAAACTACTAAACAGCTGGGCTACACTATCAAATTCCGGTCCATGAAATTGGACATGCACCCGTCTTCCCGTCTAGTATCAGGGACGGAGACCAATTCTTCTTATACCCTTCGGAAGAGATAGATGAGGGGGAAGCTACGTCAAGTGAGGGGAGTTCTCGATGAAAGAGCTCAAGTTAACGTACGAACTTGTAATATTGACTTGATTCTGGCCGAGTACTTGCTGTACCTCAGCTGTAAGTTACTCCTTCATCAAGAATACACAACCTGGCTCCCAGCTCACCCCTCCCTATGCCCCCTTCTTTTCTCTATCAGTCCTTGCCCATTGGCTCCCACACAGCCAGCAGCAGAGAAAGCCCCATCAACAAAGTGGACCATACCCCCACCCCCAGAGGTGCCATCAAACTCATAACCCGGAGCCCCCATCCCCCAAAGTACCCTTAACAGACGACCAGATTGTCTTTGGGATCAACCACCGCACCAAGTCTAGACCGGCTCACATGTTTCCAGGATCCGACCTCACCTGGTGAGAGCAGGACATGCTAGTGAACCACTTCACCCCGCCAACAGCCAGCAGGACAGAACTCTCTATCAGCAGACTTGAAATGACCTACCCGGGGACGTTTCCCCCCCTATAGTCGTCCACAGCTTTGACTGTGAATTGTGAGTGTCGCGGGATTGCAAGGGTTATTACTGGGAAATACGATGCAATGGCACCCGCCAACTGATGGAAGAGAGAATATGGGAGGTCAAGCGGAGGTGCTCAATGCTTTGGGGGATACAAGGAGGGTATCTTGATATTTTCAGAGAATGGGGAAAGAACGATACTAGAGGGTGCGATATGGTAGGGAGCTTAGTCTAATAGGACGCAAGGGGGAAGCGTTAATGAGATGAAAGGCAGTTAAAGACTCACCAAACCTCACTCGGCCATACTGTAGTGTGCCTAGAATCGGAAACCGTAGAAGCAAGAGGGGAAAAAACGTCACCTAAATTTTACCATTATTATTATTATTATTATTATTATTATTATTATTATTATTATTATTATTATTATTATTATTATTAACCGCGTGGACTAATACCAGCCAGAAGTGTCCGAAACAGGGAATTACATTTCGTTTAGGCACCCATATATTATGCGATATTGCTCCCTTTCCCGCAATATACGAGTAACATATGATACCACGACGGACAGCCCCAAGTTTTACCACGCTACTGTAGACTTATCCCTACCAAGAAGCAAACGGAAGGTATGATAATAACATAAGAAAGGATATTCCCCAAGAGAGCGCACATCAAGTGACCGAGTAACAGCCAAGCTAAGCGATGCGAGAAGCCTTATTGAGATAAACCCACCTCCGCAAGTATGTAACATGGTCCAAGCCACGCCCTTCGATGGAAGAAGGGGAAAAAAAGTAAGCTCCGGCACTAAACAAATCCTTCACTTGGCCAGTTTAGTCCATTCCGGGGCCCGGCGTCATATATGCATGCGCGAGAGAGAATACAAGTTCTTAAAAAAAAAAAGAGAGAAATTTTAGGATACCGAGTGATAGCTCGTGCCGTCGCATACAGGATAATATCCCAGGGCATCTATTATCCACCCATCTACACATACTGTACTCTACTACGCCCCGCGGCTGCTACTCGTGCATGTTATCTGAGTGGCTCGCGAGATGAGGCGCCCAGTATGTATCATATGTGTGAGAGGGATCAAAGCATTGGGGATGCCTCCTCCCCTTGCTATCAGGACATGGATAGCTACCTTATGTGCATTCCCTTCGCCAAATCACGTCTTCCAGAGGAGTTCCTTGTGATTATTGTTGGTTTAAAAAAAAAACCCCCCCCATTTGAGGGTAACCTGGGTATCCTAGGCAGTGTGCGCACCCAGGCGGGGCAGGGGGGAGTTGTCCTGTCGTGATGATCTCTGCGCTTCTTCCGTGTTGCTGCACCAAACATCAATAACATTACAGTATCCTGCGGATCGACTTTCAGTATGATACTCTGCTAAATCTACTGACCGCTTTTCTCCTACAAAGTCTCTCCCCCCCCGCAAATGCGGGCTTACATAATAAGAACAAAATCCCTAAGATACGGATACTTTACCCTTCATCGGAACTTGATCCGAACATCTCCCCACCGCCAAAAGCCAAATTCGCGCTAGGGGAGTTTCTGCCCAATCATATTTTCGCTATTCTACTTATAAAGTGTGGCGATTTGGGGGCTCTCGTGGGCACTGGATTGGCTCCGGCTGCACTTTGCTCCAATCCCAACTTTCTTTATCAGATGTAAAGGCAGGTCTCAGTGTGCATAGTGCCTGCACGCCCGCATTGAAACTGCTACCACAACCTTTCAAGATCAATGGTAGATAGACCCAGGGATTAAGAGATTCAGTCCAGTCGTTAGATTTAACTATCATAGTATACTGTACTGTACAGTACTGTACCAAGCCACGCATTCATTCTTATGATATCTCTGAAATTTTGACAATTGATCCCGAGGGCGTACAGTACCCAAACAATGGTTACCACATAATATCAATCCCCCCTACATCTCGGACAATTGAACAACACATCGCACTGGCCGGAAAAGGTGCTCCGTCCGGGTGATACATGATGAGGCAACTGCCGGAACCGAAATTCCCGGCCCATACCCCACAGTTTATATATAAGTCACACTTTCAACAAATATTATACTTTAGCCAACAACACAGTGGGCAGCATCAGAGAGGAGAGCTTTCTTATCAACGTGAAGTAAATATCGGTCGGTACACAAGTACTGTACAGTATCATACCGGGCAGTAGATGATTTTTACTCGGGGTGCAAAAAAGCTCACCTTTTTTAACGCAGATCCAGGGTTTCACGGAAAGCAAGCGTTACGACGTCCATCCCCCGCATCGTAGCTACAGTAACTGTAACTCGTACAGTGCTCGTACAGTACTGTGCCGTGCTAGAAGCAGTCTTTTGGCACAGCTCACTCACGGTGGGACGGAAAGCTTTAGGATGGGTGGTGGGTTACGGTATCTGTTCACTTGGTCGAAAGAGAATGGCGCCAGCCCAATCGGGGTATATGGCCTAGTGATGTCAAAGAGGGAAATCAATAATGAAGTACTCCAGTACGAGTACTCGTAGAATTCGGTGGATATGATGCTATAAATACACAATCGCTACTATCTTGGTGGTGGAGATGCAGCAGGAGTGTGTCACAGATAGCGGTACGAGTACTGGAGTACAGTACGTGAGTACACGAGCACAGAGAGAAGATTTTTGGCATGTGGGACTGTGGGACAGTTGACTCTTCTGTGGGACAGTATCAAACACGCAACTATGTACAGTATCATACAGCATTAATAATTCCCCGGACGTCTGGCAGACTAAAGGTTGCCGTTGCTTGGTAATGCTCGCTTACCGCACCCGCTCAGTTTCTGTCCCACCCATCTGCCGTAGAGCTCCCCACCACTTCCTTTCTTTCTCTCCCTCCTTGATCCTTTCAATCCTTCATTTGTACTGTACAAGCATACCATCTGCCCTACCTGACCACACCGGAATATACGAGCCTCGCCATTACAAATGACACGAACACAAACGGAACCCCCCCCCCTACTGCGGGGAAGTGCAGAGGACGGAGTAAGGCAAGAAGGACCAGATCCTAGCTCAACTCCAACTATATCATGCCGTACCCTACATGAGCCAGACCGGACAGAAGGACGGAAAGCTATATAAACCGCCTTCTCAATCGCCAAACATCAATTCGCCATGAGAAACCCTACTTCCAGAGCAGCGCACAGCGACAAGAAGCACCACGACTCCCTCTATCCCTTCCGCAAGATCTTCATATCTATTTGCACACTAAGCGTTCTCGCCTACGCACTCTACTACAACTCCACCCACGACAGCTTGAACAACACCAGCAACATGTCGGAAGCAGCATACATCCCCGAGGCCAAGGCCCCTCTCGTCGTCGAGAAGACTGAAATCCCAACGCTCGGGGACGGTGAAGTGCTCATCAAGAACGAGGCCATCCCTCTCCAACCCATCGACGCAAAGCAAGCCCGCATCGGTTTCATCCCACTAAAGTACCCGGCAGTCCTTGGCTCAGGCGTCGCCGGCACAGTCGTCGAGTCCAAGAACCCAAACTTCAGCATGGGCGACCGAGTCCTCTCCAACACGCCTGCTTACGGAGCCGGCGATAACAAATACGGAACTTTCCAGAAGTACACTGTCGCCACCGACCTCACCCTGAAACTCCCCGACAGCGTCACCTTCGAGAAGGCCGCCTCACTGGCCGTCAACGTCCCCGTCGCATACTCCTCCCTCTTCGTCGGCCTCGACCTACCCAAGACTGCTCCCAGCGGCTCCGCCCCCCTGCTCATCTGGGGAGGAAGCACCTCCGCCGGTGGGTACGCCATCCAACTCGCCATCAGAGCCGGCTACACCGTCGTGACCACCGCTTCCACGCACAACCACGCATACGTAAAGTCCCTCGGCGCGCAGAACATCTACACCTACGACCAGGCAAAGGAGATCGCCTCCCACGGCCCATTCGCCGGAATCCTCGACAACGCCGGAACCGGTGCCTCGCACGCCGCCATCTGGCGCGTTCTCCAGGAATTGCAGGGGAAGAAGGAGGTTGAGGGCACCATCCTCTCGCTACTGCCCAGCATGGCACCCATTGAGGGATGGCCGGCAAGCTTGCTCATCAAGTTCTTCACCTACAACTTCTCCGAGGAGCCGGCCAAGGAGGAGAAACAATACTTTTGGGCTCCAGGCGGGTACTACTCCAAGCTTGTCGCTGAGGGCATCATCGAGACCCCGGTCGAGGTTCGCAGTGGTGGCTTACAAGAGGTGGAGAAGGCGATTGAGGACCTTTTCCAAGGCGTTAGTGCTAAGAAGTTGGTCATTACCGGGCTTTAAATGGCGGGTCACCGATCACTGGGCTTTACTTAATTTTTTCTTTCTACCCTCACCCTTTTGTCCCTTTTCTAGTCTGGTCCAGCATGTTATGTTATGCGGTAGCCTAGTTTCCGTCCAAATGATCCACGGGAATTCCATCCATATCCCGAAAGCCTTGATGGCCAAACCTCAATAATGGATAAACAAATTTTGTAAATCATCAATAAGCTAGATCCAATCCAAAAATTGCTTTTTTCCCTCCCCATCCACGCAAGCCACACAAACATACCAAATACAATACCGATGTCTTTGTGACCTCCGCTCCGTTACCAAACCGTAAACTACTTTACAAGTATGATACCAGTACGAGTACTTGCTTCTTCCGCGACGGAGCAAAGATCCAGAGATCACCAGAACACCTCCCGAGATCAGGCACAACCCTCATCTTCCTTCTCCAAATATTTATGTGTATATATCTATATATATATATATATATGATAATTATAATGTGTATAAATCACTCCAGCATCACATCACAATATATTGTAACTCAACTAGCTCATCCGCTTCAGCAACAGCAAGTTACTCATTGGTATCATACAAAACACAATAAAATAATAAAAAATAAATAATAAGAATAAGAATAAAACAATGAACTGAACCGAAACATAGAGTAAAAACAAAAAAGAGCGAAAAAAAAGAGCGAAAAAAAAAGGGATATATAAGAAAAGAAGGGGAGGTGGGGGTGAGAAAAACACCAGAAAATGTAATGCTCTTTTTTGGTTTGCGAGATTGAATTTTTAATTTTTTTTGCGCTCTCTTGCTCTCTTCATGTTAGTTAGTATCATATCTATCAAACAGAACTTTTCGAGGGGGGCCTTTTAGAGGGGGCTAGGTAGCGGAAGGAATGGATGGATTACCGGTAGAGCATGGAGAAATGATACGGAAAAGGGAAAAAGGGAAAAAGAAAAAAAAAATCAAGCAAAAACCCCCAAAACAGACGAGATGGAAAAAAACGAAAACGAAAAAAGGAGAAATTAGATTTGGAAATTTTTGATTCGATTGGAGTTGATCAAGTACAGGGGAAAAAGGATGAGATAGGCAAAAGATACCAAGCAGCTGCACCACCACCACCCCGCCCGTCCCTGTCCCCACCCTTAGCCAGTCCGACATGAACGGGAAACAAATGATCAGTATCATAGTAATAAAAAAAAAAGGAAACCCCTCTCGTGGGAATATAATAACACGCAAATGAAGTTTCACCAACGTGGTTTAGCTGGAAAAAACACAACCATAGGAATGAAGGGAAAGATGGAAGACATAACGCAGTATTAGACTTCCTCATTCCAATCGTCACCCCCCAGCCCTCCCTTCGAACATACACTCTCTCATAACGTCCCCTTTTTGTGACTTGAGCACGCTCCTCACAAAAGCTACCTCGAAATCCGGCCGCCTTCGCTACCGAGGTGGGTTCTCCTCTCCTCGTCCTCCTCCGGAACGTCACTCAATCTCGTAGGATGGTGATGAGCCCTTGAAACGCCCTCCCAGCCTCTTCCATAGCCAACTGCTACTCCTCCGCCACTGCCTCCACCGTTCGATTCGTAGTCGTTTCCATCATACGTGGGATAAGTATCCCAACTCTCCTCCTCTTCTTCCGCGCGACTGGGCTCACGACGTTGGTACGAGACAGGTGTGGGGTTTCCCTGCGAGTCGTATTCCCACCCGCCATCTCCTTCACCTGCTTCCGACTGCTGCGATTCTGTCACGGATCCAGACTCGCGCGAGCGCACCGCAGAGTTGTTGGTTACGTATGACTCCTCACCGGGTGAAAGAGTCCTTCCCGGCTGTTGATCAGGCGGAATGTGAAGAGCTGAGTGTTGATGCTGGTAGAAGGGGTGGATGTCTGGGGTCTGCTGTTGCTGCTGGCTTGAGGTTGACGGCCGATGCGATTGCTGTTGGGAGAAAGCTGGAGGAGCAGTGTCAGAAACAGAGTGTGCGCCACTAGCCGAAGTAGGAGGCACTTGTCCCGGTGACGGCAAATGGGGTTCATGACGGAGTGGCGCACCGCCATAATCTGCTATCGCTTCCCTGCCATATCCGTTGTCTTGGAACTGTTGACGAAACTGTTCTTCCGTCATCGGTTGAGGAGTAGCCCCAGTATTGCTGCTTCCAGCTGTTCGGGGTCTATTCGAGCCTCTGTCAGGAACCCCACGCATAGGCATTGGGAATACTTGAATTCCACCGACGAGTGTTGGATTTCCTTCTTTGAGACTATTAGTCTTTTCTCGTTCTTCCTGCTCCTTTCGTCCCAATTCCTCCCAGGAACGTCTGCATTCTTCTTTCGAAATCTGCAACTCTCTCCTCATCTCCTCAACAAGTTTCTCCGCTGTCGCTTTCTCCTTTTCTAGTCTCTGGACTTGACTGACAGCGTCTGCACGCTGTTGACGCTCTACACGCAAGGAACGCTCCAGTTCGCTGCTCATCTCCTTAGCTCTCTCCTGATCAGCCTTAGTGTCAAAGAACCACCGTTGGAATTTTCGCTCCGAAGAAGCGCGAAGACGCTGTAGCTCTACAACAGCCTGGAACAGATTCGCACCAGCAGTAGAAAGATCGCTAATCTGTCTAGCCATTTCCCGTTCTATGGGCATACCAGCCAACTCCTCCTGGTTATGTTCCAATCTCGAGATCCAATATCCGGTTAGCCCCTCCCATCGCGAAGAAAGCCGTTCCCACCGTTCAAACGCGTGCGGGAAACTGCTGGTTATAGTCTGGTGTTGTGTTTGACGACTAGAACTTCCCCCGGGGGTAGCAGAGTTGGGAACAGCGGAAGATGGACGATTTGAGGATATTGGTTGTTGGGCGCCAGCTTGCGGAGGAACACGATTTGATGACGGAACTGCTTGCGGCTGAGTCCGAGACTCCGGCGCTGGCCGAGCAGGTTCCGTGTGTCGTGATTTGGAAGAGCCAGCAACCTGAGTTTGGCGCTGAGAGGGGTGTCCTTGGCCTGATGGCTGACCCCCACTCGGCGCGGACACTCCCGACGTTGCAGGCCTAGGAGCGTGGACCCTTGGTTGTGCCGATCCACCACTGGCAATTCGCGTGTGTCCAGTGGTTGAGTGGCCAACCCTCGCTGTTGATCCTCTATCATCCAAATAACCTGCTCCCCCACTAACTCCCATGCTCTGTTGCTGTTGTTGCTGCGCGGATTGGCTTGCGCCTCTAGGCCTCGTCTCTCGACGCGCAGCGGAAGGGTCACCGCCGTGCTGCTGATGATGTGGGTGCTGTTGATGTTGGGTTTGGCGCGCACTGCTCGTCTGTCTTGAGTGTCCGCGTTGTTGATGCTGTGTATTCGCTGTAGGTGATGTTGGGTATTGAGCCACCGGCGTGGGACCTGGGGCACCCGAAGCCATCGTCGTTGACATAGACGCGTTCTCTTCCTCGGGATCGGGCGAAAAAAGATGCGGAGTGCGAATTGCTTCCTCTAGGGCAAAATGGATGGCAGAAAGAGTATGTCGGGATATTCTCGCGGACACTTGAAAGGCAGGGGGGGTGGGAGAGTCTGTAGCGGACCTTCGGTGTTGAGTGTAGTCGCTACCTCGAATAAAGTCTCCCCTCGTCGGTGTCGGTGACGACGAGGATGGAGAGGAGGAAGAGGAGAACAAGATGGCGGCGGATATCGGATATCACTTCCAAGAGTAGGGTAATGTGGATGAGGTGGTGGTGGTGGGTGTACAGAAACAGGATGGCAGGTAATTGTGATAGAATAAGAGAGTGGATGTGAAGCAGGGCGGCGCTTCGTGTGCAGCTTGTCTCGTTCCCTGGAGCCCAGCAACATTAGTTAGGAGAAGGGGGTTAGGCCCAGGCGTGTCTCTCATGTGCAGGTGGGAAGTGTGTGTGTAAGGGGAAGTACGGGTAATGGGGGGGTTGGGAGGGGGGGTGAGAGAAGGAGAAGCGTATTTCGGGGTCATGTATGGGAGGAACGGCAGGCACAATCAATTTCGTACTATCGTGTCAATTGGGGGGCTGGGTGAGAAGAGAACTTACAATTGGAGCCGCGTCTATCCCTATGAAACGGCAGAACAACCTACAGCCCCGCAAAAAGAGGATGAGGCGACGGTCAAGGACAACTTGCCGCTACCATAATAAACCAATTGAGTCCCTGGGCTTGTCAATCGCCGCTATACGAACAGCTTCTGTTGTTGTTTATGCCTCGTCCGTTGGGCTGGTTTGGAGTTGGCTTCCCTCTTTTCCTCTTTCTCAATGATTCTCACAGCTATCCTTTTTTTCTCTCTCTTGTCTTGCGTGGCCGACGGCTCTGCTTCCTTTGCCGTCACTCATAAAAAAAAACTCAGAGAACTAATCAAGAGAGGAAAGAAAAGTTAGACAATTAAACGGGAACAATCAAACGACTACAGGGGTTGTTATAAACGGAGACCAAGAAAGAACGACGCCAGAGCAGAAAACTCCAGCCTTCGAGTTTTTCCTGTTCTTACCCCAGAAAAACGGAGAAGAGCAAGTAGGAGAAGCGAACTGGAAAAGGAAAGAGAGAGGAGGAAAGTCGATCAAAACCAAGTAAGAGAGAACGAACGATATACCGCAGGAGCAGGAGCAGAAGCAGCAATCAATCAATCAATTCTTACCACCGGTTTACCTATCTCTTTCTTTCTTTTTTTTTTTCCTTCTCTGAGCACCCAGTGTCCCTATCGCCTTTCCACCACCTCTTCTCCCTTCAAGAAAAAGTAGGCTGGGGGAAGGGAAGGTAAGAAGTTATGCGTTGTCCAGCAGATCCCAGCCTTCTGGGTGTGTTGCCACAAAAATTAGGATCTATCGAATCAGCGATTGAGAAAACGTCAAGCCTTGCTGCACGCTCTACAGGGTGAATATAGATGGCGGGAGTGTACCGGTGTTGAACTAGGAAAATACCCGTAAGAAAGGACAAAATTCGGAATGGATAGCAGAGCTCCCCAAATTCCCGAGAGAGCGACGAATAGAAGGATATGCAGAGGAATAAGGAGAACAACACTATGATGGCGTGGAAAAGTAAATACAAGAAAAGGAGAAAGGGTTTTTGTTTACTCTAGGGGACACAATAACGCGTGTGTTCCAGTTGTATTTTCTGCCCGTACTGTGCCTTGCTGCAAAGCTAGATCAGTCCCCGCCAAAGCCGTCCCGCCATTTCCTCGATTCGGCATCATGAGCCTCAACCACGCATCGTCACCGAACACTACAATACAAGTACGGTATCTGACAGTGATCCTTTTTTTTTTTTTTTTTTTTTTTTTTCAAAAAGAAAAGAAAGAAGGGAGAAAAAAAAAGGGAAACTCTTGGAAGGAAGGATGAGTTGTTGCGCGAAAGGAATTTAGTCCCAAAATTTATTCGGGAGAAACACTTGCTGTCATATCCTAACAGGCAATTGCATCCTACGCATCATTCAGAACCCACCCATCGCCCGAAAAAAAGAAATCCCTACGATAAACCGAGTGAAAAAAATTCAGAAAGAAAAGGGCTGTCGTGAGAGAGTGGACAACACAGAAGGTGGATGGGGGTCCGTGAAACTGGAAATCTTCACGTCTTACCAACCCCCTGTGTGACCTGACCTTCCCCCAGATCCCCAGTTCTTATTTCGGTATGATAACATCTTCAGATTCCATTGCAAGCCCATCACAATACTATCACTCGTATTGAAAACCCCATCTCCTTCGAACGGTGTGCGATGGAGAATCGTAACCGAGCCGAATAGTGGAAGAAGCCGCTATCCCTATGTTGGTACCGATAATACTCGTACCTACCTTGTAGCCCAATATCAGTAACTCTTCTAAGGAAGAGAATTTGTGATGCTGGGCAATAACTCTTCACCTCAGGCGGATCAATAACAGCCAGGAAAATCGCCTGGGTGCCAGGGGATCGAGCTGGATGCAGGGGAAAAGACGAGTGACGAGACATGCTACAAGATGGAAGACCCCAGTGCAAATGGGGTTCTCGCTAACGCTCCCCGCCAAGCTTTGCTCCCCGAGCGAGCCGAGCTGAAATCCAACTAGAAATCCGATCTAATCTAATCTTACCCAGAGAATTTTTTTATCATGCAAATCGTCTCGGGACTGTTTTTTCGTTCCCAACCTTCAAACCCCCACCAACACTAACCAGTCCTAGGGTAAAGCCCCAAATTTCTCTCACCCCCCCACCATATAGAAGTCCACCAGGCCAACCTCACCTACCAACAACAACACGACGAACGACAAACTCTTCCGAATTCAGCATTTAGGAAAGGAACCTCCCATACCTTCCGCCAGCACCCTACGAACGCAATGTCCAACGCCGAACTCGCCGTTTCATACGCCGCCCTCATCCTCGCCGATGATGGTGTTGAGATTACAGTACGCATTCCCTCCTCATCCAGGAAATTTGGTATGAGTTAAAAGAACGAAGGAAGGAGAGAAAGAGAAAGAGAGAGAGCTGAATGCTGAATTGCTTTTTTGTTCTATAGGCCGACAAGCTCCAGGCCCTCATCAAGGCCTCCAACATCACCGAAGTCGAGCCCATCTGGTGCTCGCTATTCGCTAAGGTGAGCCTTTTCCCTTAGGATCCGAGATCTGGCCCAGAGACTTACAAAAAATATCAACAGGCCCTAGAAGGAAAGGACGTCAAGGACCTTCTCCTGAACGTCGGCTCCGGGGGTGGAGCTGCCGCAGCTCCTGGTGGTGGTGCCGCCGCCTCAGGTGGTGCCGGTGGCGCTGCTGAGGAGAAGGAACCTGAGAAGGAAGAAGGTTTGCTCTATCCTACAGTTCCCTCTACCCCCTACACTGCCATATACTAACGAGTTACGTAAAAAAAACAGAGAAGGAGGAGTCGGACGAGGACATGGGTTTCGGACTTTTCGATTAAGCAAAAAAATCTTTCTGTTTTCCTCGGGGGGTTTTGGGAGTTTCTCTTCGAGTTGAATAAAAATAAATTTAACTACCTTTTTCTTTTTGCGTTTCGCCTTACCGTGCGTGCTCGGCTCATTTCGTTTCATCTTCCTCCAAGGAATGCGTCATATTTAGAATCGGGCTGGGGAGAAGGCTTGGACTCACTTGAGTGGTTATGGGGTGGACCGGTTTGGGTTGGTTCGGGTGGTGACTTTGGGGAGGGTGTGCGTGATGCGTGGGAACCGGATAAAATCATGGGTGGTTGATTTCGAGGTACTTAGTACGGTACTTGGTGGGCTTTGAGGCAGAGGGTGTCTGGGGTAGGTTGGGAAGGGGGTACGGTACGGTATTAGGGAGGTTTTGCTACGACGGTCGTTATTCCGAAATGTGCTTGTTTGTGCCATTTTGGCGCAAAAAGTCAAAATTTTGCACCAAAAATGGGCAACTTTAATGGCTTACAACTCATCCAAAAACACTATAGAATTAATGGAAGTAGTAGCATTACAGGCTTCATAATTGCTCCCCTGCGTTTTTTTAGAATTGGATAATTTTGTCACCTCCATGTGGGCGTTGATAGCAGAACAAGGTTTTTGTTTCATGAGATTGTTGTATGATAAAGCACCTTTTCTTACACCTCGTTTGCCCACCCCTGATTCTCCTAATATCCTGCTCCTGAAATCTTTTGATAGAGGTTGATTTTTCGATTTTTAAGCCAGAACAAATTTTCACATGATTCTAAAGGGTTTGGCGAATTCGAACTTTTTTGTTTTGAGATTTCTGGTGTAAAATGCCACACTCATAATTTCTTATGCCAAGATCGCACTTGGGCGCACATTAAATTATGGTGCACATCAACCAAAAAACGCAGCAAAATCCAATGCCCACCACGACCTAGTTTGCGCGCAAGTATGATATTTTGTCCTGAGTTATGTGTTGCTGAAGTTTTGTTAAGCATACAGTGCTCGAGTAGTAAATTTACTGCAAGTAGGTCGACCTTTTATCACAACCCCGTTACTAGGGCGTCCGTTAGTAATTAGAGAAAGCCGTACCCAAGGATGGTATCATAGTCTACCGGTACAGCGGTCAACGCACCCCGCAGCGCGACCAACTTCAAACTCCTATAAGTCAGCAGCAGCAACTCACAAGTTCAAAAGCTCCGTAAAGGTCTTTATCTCACGATTGTCTAGAGAAATGTAATACAGAAGGATTTAAAAAAGAAATATTGACTCGTTGCAGTGTTAGAGCAGCTCAAATGTTGTGATTTTTGACTGGGAGCTGGCCAATTAACTCAGCTCAAGCTAACTGTATCCAGTAATATCTCTAACAACTCTATGCCTAATGCGTAAATAAATATAGCTGATCATTGCGTAATGCTAGATGCGCTAGCCCAGTTAGAAAGGTGATCACCCTTGATAAGCAACCCCAAATTATGATAACACAAGGGTCGATTGTCAGTGTGGCACTACCGGTGTCCGTAATACACTTGGCGATTCCACAAGTGGCCGTACTGTATCTTGGGATCTTGGTATTTCCTGCCAGTGGGCCCAAACCCATGTCAAGATTTCTGGGTACTTTTGGAATCGCCAAGTAACTTATGGTTTCCTCCAAAAGTCACCCAAAAGCACAAGATGTAAAGCTAGAAACCGGTCCAGACAGCTCATTCCAGTATACTTTGTTGAAAAAAACAAAAAAAAAAAACAAATAGCGGAACAAAATTATCACACTCTACGGTATTCAAAGAGGGGAAAAAAAGAAAAAAAAAGAACAATAAACTCACGCCCTCTTCCATCCTATCCCACAAACCAACCAGCCGCCAAACCAGCCAACCAACCGACGATTTTGAATGCCCAAATATCCCAACCGATATCATTTCTCATTGGATCTCATAAGGTATAAATACGCCTGCCTGCCGGCTTACTTCCTAGCACCACCACCCATCCTCTCAATTTCACTTTTCAATCCGCTGTTACTGCCGATGCTCCCACCAAAGCCTACCCCACTAACTCTAGCAACTCTCCTACTAACCTTCTCCCGCTCTTCCGCTAATCCCCCCCCTCCCGCAACGCTAGAGCTCGCTTGGATAGATAGGAGTTCCTCGACAGCACCGACTAATTCCCCTTTCTCGCGTCTCTCGGCTTTGAGCTCATCTCCAAGTCTCTTGACCTCACCACGTAGTGCTGCGAGCTCCCCGGCGTTGGAAGCGGAGTACTTGATGTCGACGGCCACCTCTTCCTCATTCTTCTTCTGGATTTGGGCTTCTAGCTCTCCGCAGCGCCTCTTCTGCGTGTCTAGCTCAGTTTGGAGGGCGATAACTTTCTTCTCCCATCTTGCCTCGTAGCTTTTCTTCAAAGCGGTGACTTTAGTTTCGTGCTTGGCTTTGTAAAGGGAGTGCAATTCGCGGGCGACCTTTTCAACTTCTGTCTGGACGTTGGTGGAGTCCGGGGATGACGGTGTGGCGGAACTGGAGGGCTGGGTCTTTTCGGCATGCTTCCAGGCGGTTTCGGCCTCCTTCTTGGCCCTGACGGCCTCGTCTTCGGCGTAAGTGACTCTGTGCTTTGCATCAGCGAGCTCCTTCAGGGCATCTTCCGCCCTCTCTCGCAGCATTCTCAGTTCGTCTTCTCTCTTCTCCATTTCGCGGACGAGGGTTTCTTTTTCTACCCTCTCGGCTTCGAACAGCTGTCTTAGCTCTATCTTCGCATTTTGCCAGTTGTTCCGTTCCTCTTCAAATTCGCCTTCCTGCTGCTTCATGCCGTTGTTCGCATCTGCATATCGCACCTCTGATTGTCTGAGCGCATCTCTCAGTCCAATTATTTCGGCCTCCCGGCCATTCAACTCTGCACGCAACTGCGACAACTGACTGGCAAAGGAGGCCTTCAACTGATCAACCTCACGGAGCGTGATCGAAGGTACTGAGCGAGGGGAGGCCAATGCCCCGGGCGAAAAGTCAAGAAGGTTGAAGAACTTCTTTTCGGTGGGAGTTGCTGGAGGAAGCGCAAATTTCGACGGCGACGCTTTCCCACCCTTGGTTGGGGACGCGGACTTTGTGCGGCGGTGTAGGGGTGTTGTCGGCATCGGTGGACGCGAAGTTATTGCGTTAAATTGCTGGGTAAAGTCTAGCAGAAGATTTGCCGTCTGATTGTGATTAGAAGGAGAGGCCGGGGGATCCGGCGATGATTGCATGTTATTATGGCGGGACCTAGGACGAGTAGTTTTGGGGGTTGCAGCTGTTGAGATTGGTTGACGGTTGGTTGGGGTTTGCGGGCGGGACTGGCGATGGGAGTCAATTAAAATAATTCCAAATGAATATTGATGATAACTTCAATGAGCCATATAAGTTACACGTACCTTTACGGGTGACCGCTTCCCGGGGGCATTCCCTCCACCGTTCAGGGCTCCAGCAGAGCCGAACTGTCCAATCGTGACGTCGGAAAAATTTGAGCAAACCGTTTCATCACCCACGTCACCCATGTCTCCCACTTCGCCGCCGAAGAATACCTCTTCTTCTCCAATAAACTCGAAGTCGCTCATTTTACTTGGGGAGGCCCCTCGACTTGGTGGGGATGGGAGGAAAAGTGGGGAGGCTTGAGACAGTTTGGAAGCTACAGTTGGTGGTACTTTGGGAGGGGAGGTAGCTTGAGGGGGGGTTGGAGTAGATGGTTGTGCGGAACCGGGTGGGGAGCTCTGGGGTTTTGGGGTGAGGGATGCAGCTGGAGGCATCAGCGATGTCTGAGGTAAGACAAAGATGGTGTTTGCACCTGCAAACAGAGTTAGCGGACAATTGCGTCCGTATACCGGTGGAGGGCCTGAAAGAGGGATACCTACCAGTGGTGGAGAGGATGTTCGCGGGTAAACGTTTGTGGTTGAGTCGTCTGACAAATATAGCCCGGTCAATGGGCAGTAGGGCACATACTGATGGACGGGGAAAGCGGATCGGAGGGGAGAGGGAGGAAAGGATGTAAGGGAGAGTGGGCACCGCACGGACTTCAAGTGGTGAGACTAAAGATGTTTTTGTTGTGATCCGGTTTGCCAAGACACAACATCTGCCAAGCACAACTCTTATTGGCTATTGCACTTGCAATGATTTTCTTTCGAGAATTGGTGTCGAGTGAGGGATCATAAGTGGAGTTAGTGTCCCCGATGTTCCCAGGAGCCATTCTTTAAGGGATAATTAGTTGTGTCTTTGGTGGCTCACTACGTAGAACTTCACTTATGAGAAGCGGAGGTCTTGGCGGCGGTTGATGAACAAGTGGACAGATTTACCACCGGCCATGGGAGTTCTAGTGCTCGGGTACATGGCAAGCAGCAGGATAGATGAGTACAAGCATTAACTGGTGTGGAAGGTTCCCAAACGCTTCCTATGTATGTATAAGAGGTTGGTGTCTCGGCCGGGCTGCGCCTGTGTGTGAGATCTGCTCTGTAACATGGTATAGGAGACTGCGGGATGTAGGAAAATAGCCTGCTGATAACCGCGTAACGTGGCCGTGAGCGAATAGGTAAAAGATGGTGAGGCTACGCCTGGTAAAGGTAGGATGAGAACCATGTTTATTGGTTTGTCGGGTGGTGGTTATCGCTCATGTCTAGCAAAGAAGAAATCGATTATGCTTATTCCCTCGTCTGTATCGTATTTAGGACCACACGCTCGGGCTAAATTAGGTGATAGGATCGTTACTTGGGGAAAATATCAATCAACTCATCGGGACTATAAATTCTATTGGCCGGGTCACCATTGGGTCGTCGAAGCCATACTTGATCAGCCTAGCTTTTTGAAGATGGGAGAAGAAGATTAGCTAAGTGCTAAGAAGGCCTGGAACTCAGGAGCGAACGAAGGGATATAGCAAGGATGTCGCATGCCAGACTATTTTCCAAACAGGAGATTCTAGAGGGTGATATGCCCTGCGAAATACTGTAGCGGGCTAGTAAACCTATTCCTCCTTGGCGCCGGTTTCTTTGCTAAGGGGCTTAGTAGCTGTCTATTTACCTTTAGGTGAGAATGGTAAGGGGTTGGGAGAGGAGGTGTAATATGTGGAGTTTTCGGGGAAATTCTGGGGATCTCAGATTTCAATAGTCTCTGTAACTAATTCTCTGTTCAGCATACCAATTTTGTCCCTGGAGGTGCTTTTTGTTGGATGTTTATCTCTATAAAAAGTTGTATCGAGGGGTGTTAGGTACTGGTATGATATATACCTAAGAATCACTCTATCTTCCTTAGATTTCAGGTATGATAGCGTTTGGGTAACACCACCTATATGTTGCAGTCGACGCATGTTATTATGATATAAAAGTATTTCCCACCTGGTAGCTACCCACTTGCGCTTTCTCTCGGGTTCGGTATTTGGAGACTTACTCTGGATTTAATGTTTTTTTATGGGAGTATATTATGTAGACACTTGGTAAAAGTCTTTGTGAAATGAAATTTCTCTTTGCCAGTGGAATGGGCTCCTACAAATACCTCAGTTTCGGTTCGGCGACACCAGGGTAATAAATTTTGATTGAACACAGTTAAGTAGTGCCCTCCCTTAAGACATCATTATCTCCGCAAAAGATTGGCTGGAAATCTCTTTCCTGAGTAATTAGGAGTATGAGAGCCGACAAATCTTTTACCGAATCCGGGCCCTATCTGGCACGCTGCAAATGCGGGGACTTTTTTTTGGCATCTCTTCCTTCTTCGCACTGAAAAAAAAGATCTAAAGGGGGATTGGTTTGGCATATTATACAGAAAGCCTGTCTTTTCTTTCTCTTTCACGTTAGTAGTTTCATATGATAGCTCGATCCACAGGCCCAAAAATGGGTTTCTGTCCTTGTTCCCCGTCACAAAAGTATTAAGAAATCTGGGCAGCGCTTAGGCCTAGGAAACGCCAAGATTTCCCGACACTTTTGTGACGGGCAAGTAAAAGGCAAGATAATGTGGTTCAAGTTACTTTTTTGATAATCTGTATTTGTGGTTTTCTCGGAGTTTTGTACTTTTTATTTTGGCGCAAAAGTATTAAAGAACGGCGCATGATATAGTTTTCTAATATGACGTGCGAAGGCGGGGCCTGAAAATCTATTCTTTTTTCGGTCTTTTTTCTTTCAAACTTAGTGATTGCTCATAATGTATCACTCGTAGGAGCTTGGGGTGCTATATTTTGCTGCCATTGGCTTCAGTTAAGTTCATCCATCAACAGTTACATGGCTCACTGGCCATGAGTAATGGCTACCGAGCAGTGCTCCGTGAAATAGATTGTAATAAAGAGGAGCAACTCATCTTGCGTTATGCGGCTCTTTGCTCTCTGTCGTTTCCCTGTTTCGTCGTCATCCTTTCTTCTCCCTCCACCGGGGCTTTCCTCTGTCCAACCCTTTTTTGATACCCCTTTCTCCCACTTTTCTTCTCCTCTTCTCTCCCCACACCTACGCTTTACCTAGAACCCCCACCTTTCTTCCTTGCTACTATACCTTCTCACCATCGCTTCATCGCTTTCTTTCAACCTTGATCTTTTCATCACTCAATTTTTCTCATCACTAAAAAATACTAATCCTCGTCATGACTACTCAAGAGGATCCAAACACTGTGGCAAGTTTGTCTAACGACATCAACGCTATGGTGGCCGCTGTTCAGAGCACTGCTCTGGGTGATAAATATGTTGTTGGGGAGGGCGCTCAGGAGAGCACCCCACCTGTTCCTGTTGTTGGGCCTCGTGTTGGCAAGTGGATCGAACGTGAGACAACCAATTACGAAACCTACGTTACCCCTGTACAAGATCCTGAGGGCCCTAGGGGGATTCCTGTCGGTGAATGGGGTGCTTCAGGTGCTCGTTATGAATGGAAGGAGGAGTATGGTGATGTTGCACCTGCTGACGAGGTACTTGAACGTATGCTCTTTGGAGAGCCTGGTGTTTCTGAGCGTGCAGGTGCCGGACTACAATTTGATAAGTATGGTTTTTTTTCTCCAAATCTTCCAGTTGTTTGTGAAATGTCGATTGTCAGGGGTCAAGACTAATGATGTGCTGAGGAAAAAAGGCTTCTTACTATCTCCGTCTATGTAGAAGGGCAGGAGAAGATGAATCCAATTGAGAGAGTATGTTTGCCTTCTGATTTACGAAAAGGGATGGAGAAAGAGAGAGATAATTCTTGTGAATTTTTTGGGTTAACTGAGTTTCAAGTTCGACGAAGCTCCTCTCCATCCGGTAATGAAGGGGAATATCAAACTAGCTGGGTATTTCTTTAGTATTTTTATTCTTGATTTTGATGCTGACACCCTGAAGATATGAAATCCCCACACCTATCCAGAGATATTGTATTCCGGCAATTCTTGAAGGACATGATCTCTTGTCATGCGCCCAAACTGGTGGGTTCCCACCATATAGACTGGGACTTGCTTCCTTGCTGTGACGATATAATATACTTACGGGACCTGATTTTGTATAGGCTCTGGAAAGACGGCGGCTTTTTTGATCCCTATTTTATCTAAGCTTATGGGGAAGGCTAGTTCGCTTGCTGCCCCTCGCCCTGTGCCAGGCTCCACGGAGCCCTATATCGCGCAGCCTTTAGTTCTCGTTGTGGCGCCAACTCGTGAGCTTGCCACCCAGATATTTGACGAATCCCGTCGGTTTTGCTATAGAAGCAAATTGAGGCCTTGCGTCGTTTACGGTGGCGCTGATAGTGCTACCCAACGTATGGAACTTAAGAAAGGATGTGATATCCTTGTCGGCACACCAGGGCGCTTGGCCGATTTCATTGAACGGGGAAGAATCTTGTCATTGAGGCGCTTGAAGTACGTTACCGTTCCCTTAATCCCAAGGGGTTTAGAGCTGTATTTCGTTACTAATGCTATTCGTAGATTTGTTGTGATCGATGAAGCAGATGAAATGTTGGACATGGGATTTGAGCCCCAGATTCGCAAACTTCTTCAGTCTTCTGGTAGTTTGTTCTTCATCAGGTGGCTTGATGTCTGTTAACAAGAGATTAGATGCGAACGAGGATGATGACCAGCAAGTCTTGATGTTCTCCGCCACTTTCCAAAAGGTACTAGAGCTTATAATTTGTGCCATTGTTATTTTTTCATACTAATGTAGAACGAACATCAATAGGCTATCCGTAAGTTGGCCAGAGATTTCTTGTCTGATGATTTCGTTCACATCAAAGTGGGCCGCATCGGTAGCACTCATGAAAATATTACTCAGAGGGTAATTCCCGGCCCGGTGTTTGTCTTGTCATTTCACATTCTAATCCATAGATTGGGGTGGGTAGGTTCTGTGGGTCGACGAGCTGAGAAAAAAAGAGGCTATATATGATCTCTTGTGCACTGCGCCCCCCGCACGCACTCTTATATTCGTCAATCATAAGCGTGTTGCTGATAGTTTAGATGACTACTTGTACAACCGTATGTCTCATGTCTCTAGCTTAACGGAGGAGAGTCGAAGCACTAATGTTTTTTTTTTTTACAGTCAAGCTCCCGACTACCTCGATCCATGGTGACCGTACCCAACGCGAGCGTGAGGATGCGATGTAGGCTATAGAGAGTACCCTTTTGACATCAAATGTTTGCTGATATGGTAATTTTTGCAGCCTCGCGTTTCGCTCTGGGAAGTGTCCGATTATGATTGCCACTGCTGTTGCGGCTCGTGGGTTGGATATAAAAAACGTGATGCATGTTATAAACTACGACATGGTCCAAAATATTGATGAGTACATTCATCGTATTGGTGGGTTCTATGCTTCTACACTCGAGTGGAGTAGAATCAAGGCTAATTGGAAATAGGACGCACGGCTCGTATCGGCAATCGTGGGCTCGCCACCTCGTTCTATAATAGCAGCAATGAAGGCATCGCTTCAGACCTGGTAAAGGTTCTTTTGGAGTCTTCTCAGGAGATTCCCGAATTCCTTGAGCCCTATCGCCCAATTGGCGAAGTAACCTTTGAAGAGGAGTCAGAAACCGAAAAAGGCGAAGAGCGGGGAGGAAATGCCCATGGTCAGAATGGAGATGCTAACGATGGTGGGGATTGGGGAAACGAAGGAGCTGGAACCAATGGCGAAGTTGATATCTCTGGCTGGTAAAGTTTGGTGTTCGATGTCTGATAGAAACGGGATTCAAATGTGAGGGAGACCAGGAAGTTTTGAGGCTAAATGGTGCGTTCGTTGAGAGATGCTATCTTAGCCTCTGCTAGCTTCGTTTCTTTTGTTTTTTGTCACATTTAATTTCTTCTGTTTGGCAATAGTTTGTTTCGGGCATAAATAAAACTGGTTTTCGGTTGATTTTATATTCGTTTCTTATTGCCCTTACCTGAGTATTTAGATTAGATGGTAGCTTCAATTTCTGTAGCGGGCGTGTGGGGTTTTTTTGCCAAGCTACATATGTCCTCGGGAAGCAGTATCGGTGAGGGACGTTGCGCCCGAGTGGAGGCTCATGGACAGTCACTCGGCAAGGCTTTGGTTGATCTCCAGGTGAAGCTATACTTGTTTAACTCCCTTATGAAAATGTATGGTCTCGCTTGAGTTTTCTGATGTGGAGGCTCTGTGAACCCTTGTTTTGCTTTTTTTGGCACACCCGGGTATCATACGATATCCGGGGTTTTTAGTGATGGCACAGGTCTGCATTGGGACAGGTTATTTCCCCCTTTGTTTCTCGTCTGTATTGATATTTTATTTGGATGTTTAGCCCGGATTTTGGAGTAGATCTTGCTCGGTTTTCTGTAGAGTGCTTGGAGGTTGTCTCTGAGGTCCTGTTTGGTGTGCTGGGTCCATTTCGTTGTCACATACAAATGACCGTTTCCCTTCCATTCCAAAATGGGAAAACAGAATATGTGTTTGGCAACATTAAAAGGTACCAACCTTTCCATTTCAAAAAGACCTAACACAAAGGTTGCATTGCATGAGTATATTTATAATATCAATGTAATAATTATTGTCCCATAGAACAGCTCCTTTATAATATAATATTTTCCGCAAGTCATCTTCAATTCTAATTCCTATTTCATATGAGTATGCAAGCTGATAATGATTGCATTTATGCAGCAATTTTTCAAAGACCATTCAAATTGCTATCAGTGCAACAATATATATCAATTTCATTCTTTCTAGACAGTACTAGTATGTATATACTTCATGTCGTATGGGTTGCCGCTATATAATATTGTATGAAATACTTAGAGCTCATCCACATCAAGTAATAGAGCTGATTTGCATGCCTATTACTACTTTCTTGGATCTTTAGGACTGGAACATCCCCTCTCACCACATAACTATCAAGAAGCAGCTGGTTATATTTTTGTGGATTGTTGGCTATGGAGTATCAATTAGGGAGACTCAAGAGCAGTTTCAGCATAGTAGAGGGGTTGTTTCGTGTTGGGGAAATGTTTTATTTTGTTATAAGTAGCTATTAGTATGGTTTAGCTAATATCTAATTTACTAACAACTAGCTATTTTCATCAAATTTTACAAGCACGAAGGTGAAAACTTTTTTATGTGTTTACCATTATTGAATGGTGCCAAATCGGCAACTGTCCCTACAGGTCAGATAGTATCATAATATTATAAAGTCAGAGCCTCGGACTCAAAGTAAGGGTCCTGGTCGAGGGCAAGGCTTCACGGTATTTATAAAGAGGGGGGTGATAGCGAATGTTACAAGCACTAGATCGCTCCAAGAGCTACAGCAAAGACGTTGAAGCTATCGGGGAATCGCAGTTAAGTTCACTTGGATCCTTGACCCAACGTGGAGGCGATGCAGTCTGACACTTTCAACGCCACCATTACTACCGCTGATACTACCGAGGTGGGGGGTGTGAAGCGGTCTAGGTTGACTGAGAAGGTTGCGAAGGCTAATGCGCGTGCCAAGGAGGGGGCTAAGCGTGCTGCTAAGGTCTTTTCTTCGTGCTTCTGGATGAAAGAGGGTGTTCGGATTCCGCTTTGGGGGTAGAACTCTGTTGGGTTTTTTTGGCTACTTTTTTCTTTTCTCTCTCAAAATATCCGCCTGATTGGTCTGGATGGCGTTTGCCAGAGTCAGGCTGGGGGGGGGGGTTGTTCTGTTTTTGTTTTTGCCCTTATTTGTCAATTGACAATAGCTGGTTGTGAGGTTGTGAGATTATGGAGAGGGATAATGATATTCGATTCAATTGATGCCGAAGACACGGAAATACAAGAGATTTAAAGAAATGAAATGGGGAAGAATCAAGGCCTTCGAATATAGCAGTGTCAAAATTCGTCCAGAGTTGCTGGTAACCGAAGCGGTGTTCTCACAGACCAGGGGCATACTTCGAATCCACCATTAGTAAATCCGGCACGAAAGCTGTTGAGATCTGTGCTTCCTGGCGTGCATGTTTCCGCAGCTCTTTCTTTCGGGGCTGTGAAGGGTTTTTCTTATATCATAACATGTATATGCATTTAATCACCGTCTAGACTCAATCCCAGGGAGGTTTCTAGCGCCACGATCACTCAAGTGGTCCTCCTTTTCGCCCGCTTTCCCTGTCGATCCCTCCTCGCTCGACGTTGGGATACTCTTACCACACCCGAACCATATCTCATGATGCAGCACTGCCAGCAATCCCATCTGACCCACCGTCAATGGCAAGTAAAGTTTTATTTTGTTGCAATGAATATTCCTCATACCATATGGCTCGGTTGGGCTATTTGGTTTAGGATCCCATTGGGGGCGGGGCTATTGTTGAATAAGCTTTATTGAATGGGGGTTTGTTATTGTTTTTTTCTTTTCTTCCACCACTCTTCTGCTTGACTTCATCGCTTCCTAACCTCTTCTCTATTCCTACCGTCATCAACCTCTGCTTCACTTCTACATTTACCTTCCTCAACACAAGCTTTTCTTCTCCATCTTCAAAACTTCCTTCTAGCTCTCTTTACTTTCCTCCAGCTCCAAATCCTTTCTTGAAAAAATTCTTCAAGTCTTATCACCCTCTGAAAGTCATTTAAAAATGACCAAAAAAATTACTGAGTCCTCTTCCCCCTCTAATGGGATTTCTTTTCCCCCCTTTCCTCAAAATCTTAATACCCCCACTGAGGCTGTCATCAACGACGGTGTGTCTCCGGAGACCATGAAAATATCCATTGAGAGCCTCCTTCCATATATCCCCAAAAGCAAAAAGCCCCTTGAGGCTCCGACTCCCCCCCTTTCCACTCCTAGATACACTATGGAGAATGGCCATAACTTTGGCAGAATTGCCTGCCCCTCTCAAGCGCCGACGTTTGGTCGCAAGATCAAGGTCCCCCGTGGGCTCCCGATGGCCGCTGTGCCCGTGGAATTTGCATTCGCGAGTGAGAAGCAATGTAAGCTTCCTGTCATGTCTTCCGAGTCTATATTTGTTGGGAAGCACATCAGGCCCCTCCGCAAGAGAAGTGTTCTATTGGCCAAGGTGCCGGATATTTCCTTTGCAGACGCTTCGGTTTCCCCAGGAGTTGTTTTCGTCGGTGCTCGGAATAATGGGCTTGGTGGCAGAGGCGAAGTCATTGAAAAACTTGAGGATGGAGCCGCTGTGGGTGCCCTCATACCTGGAATTTCTGTCCAAAATAATACTAATAAGACCTTTTGCATCCAGAGCGCCTCTTCTAGAGATTCAACTCGTTCCCTATCCATCGCTATCGAAACCCCCCTCCCAGACGATGATGAGCTTTATTCTAAGGATGTATCACTCACTCTCTCGGCCGATACTGAACTTGATTTCAAAGGTTGTCTGCAGACTTCCGAAACTAGATCCCCTATGGAAGCCGACAACAATAAAGAATCCCTCCTTGTACCCCCCCAGGATGTCGTAGTTGTTGGATCTCCGGATCGTACTGTTTCGATGAGGGTGTTGGCCGCTGGTCCTGCTAATTGGTGTTCGGAAGACAAGCTCGATGTGAGCGCTGGCAATGGACAAGCACAACTAGAGGAGGAGCGCCAGGGTAGTCAACACCAAGCTGTTCAGGAACTCGACTCGACCACTGAAGTCAATCCTATCGCTACCGAATCCGTCCCCGGCCCCCAAACCCTCCCCCTGGGTGCCGAAACTTGTCCCGAGGGTGCTTTACTTATTCTATCTCTCGCTGTCAACACTCCCCTTCCCCCAGACATCGAATTCGATTCTAAACTTTCTGCTTTAACTTCTAAATCTGAGGCCGACAATGAGGATAAACCTCAACCCGAAACCCCCCAAGATGAGGTAATCGCAAGATCCCTTGGTGGTAATGCCTCGACAAAGGCCGTATTTGGAGGCGCGGGAGCTTGCGGACTTAATGGTGAATTTGAGGGTGCAGACGAAGTCATGGGGGGACTTGAGGGCGAAGCTACTGTAAGTCCTTGCTTCCTTAGAATTACTACCCAGAACGACACTAACAGATTGTGCGGCGTCCAGATACTCAAACCTCACACAGTCGCCTCTGCCGTAACTTGCGAAGATCTGGCTCACTATCTATCCATCGCTGTCAAAACACCCCTCCCTGACGACGCGGAACTTTGTTCTGAGGATGGTTCATTCGGGCTCCCCCCCGGTTTCAACACTTCTCTCCCTGTTGACACCGAGTCTGATTCCGAAAGATCCCTGCCTATCCTGGAAAGTGAACCCCCTCTTGAAGGAGTGGGGCATAGCAAACCTCTTCTTGAACCCCTTGGAGGTGTTGGAGTTGCGGGATCCCCAAAGAATGCTCTTTTGTCAAAGGATATATTTACTGTTGGGAGTCCCACTAAGCAGCCCCGCAAACACCGTGCCCTATTGGCCACGGAGCCAGAGATTTCGTTTGCCGACACTTCCACCCTCCGGGAGGTCATATTTGGAGTTGCGGGGACTGGCGGTTTTGAGGGTGTGGATGAAGTCAATGGTGAACTTGGGAATGATGTTATAGAAAGTGCCGGGACACCCGGAATTACTACTGAGGGCGGGACCAGCAAGTTCCATTGCATCCAGGTTGTCTCTTCCGATTCTCCCCCCGAAGATATTGATAGCACCCTTTCCATCGCCCTCAAAACTCCCCTCCCGGACGACGATGAGCCTTGTGGTGGTGATGCCTCCCTCACTACCCCACTTTCCCTCAACACTCCTCCTATCGACACAGAATTTGATACCGACTGCTATAATGACCCCCTTAAAGCCCCCCAAGACGCCGTGATTTCGAGACCCCCGGATAGTCCCGTTTCAACAGAGGCGGTACGCACTGATGAGAAGCTCGCCAACCCACTCTGCAAGAGCTGTGCTCTATTGGCCAATAAGACAGAGAATTTTCCTGACAACCCATCAGTTTCCTGGGAGGCCGTATCTGGAGGTGCTGGGACTGGTGAACGCGATGGTGGAGACAAACTCGTTGATGTGCTAGGGAATAAAGTTACCGTAAGTTCTCGGGGGTGGGGAATTACCATCCGGGGTGGTGCTAACAAATTGTTTCAATTCCAGACTTTTAAAGGCCAGATTGTCTCCTCTAGCGTTATTTCCGAAGATCTGGTTCGCTATCTATCCATCACGGTCAAAATACCCCTCCCCGACAATCCTGAAATTTTTGATGAGAATACATCACTCGGGCCCTCTCTTACTTTCACCGGCGCTCTCCCTATCAACACCAGATTGGGTTCCGAACGTCAACTGTCGACTCCCGAAATTGAGTGCCCTGTGGAAGCCGGTAGTGATAACAGATCCCTCCTTGAAGCCCCTCAGAACGTCTCTATTTCAAGATCCCCAGATAGCGCTACTTCAACCGGGGTATTGGTTACTGGACTTGCCATTGAGGGTATAAAGGATAAGCTGGATGTGGGCGTCGGCTTCGAGCAGGAACAGCTAGAGAAGCATCAACATAGCCAATCCCAGGTTATCCAGGAACACAACTCGCCGAACGAAGTCATTCCAATAATTACTGAACCCACCCCCAACCTCAAAGACCCCTTCCTCCACAATACCAAGCCTTGTTCTGAGGATGTTCTTCTTGCTCTCTCACTCGCTGCCAACACACCCCTTCCCGCCGACACTGAATTTGATTCCGAAAGCCACCCGTCAATCCTCGAAATCAAACCCCCTCCAGAAACTAGTGATGGCAATAAACTCCTACTCGAAGCTCCCCAAGATGTCACGGCTACAAGATTCCCGGGAAGCATGGTTTCGACAGAGGCCGTGTTTACGGATGGGAATCCAACCAAGCTGCTCCACCAGGATTGCGTCCCATTAGCAAAGAAGCCAGAGACCGAATTTTCCAATATTTTGACTTCCCCGGAAGTTATATTCGACAGTGTGGGAGCTAATGGACTTACTGGTGCAGACGAAGTTACCGAGGAACCCGAAGATGAAGTTGTCGTAAGTGCTCACACACCTGGGATTACTGTTGGGGCCGATACTGATAACCCTTTTCTTTTCCAGGCTTTCAAGGCTCAGATTGTCTCTTCCAACGTTAGTTCCAGGGATCTAGCCCATTTTCTATCCCTCGCCATCAAAACTCCCCTCCCAGACGATGAACTCTGTTCTGAGGATGCATCACTCACTCCCTCACTCGCCGTCAACACACCCCTCCCTGCCGATACAGAATCTGGTTCCGAACATCCCTTGTCGATCCCCGAGACAGAATCCCCTCCAGGAGCTCTCGGCGAAAGTAATTCCCTCCTTGATGCCAGCCGAGATGTTGGAATTGCGGGATCCTCGGGCAGGGCTGTTTCGGCTGAGGCCATACTTACCGACGAGAAGCCGGTCGGGATGCTCTGCCAGCCTCATGTTCTGCTGTCCGAGGAGCCACAGATTGTGCTTGCTAGTACTTCGGTTTCTCCACAGCTAATATCCGGCCGGGAATCGCTCGCCCAATCACTTGCTGTCAACACCCCTCTTCCTATCGACGATGAGTTTGATTTCGAAAAACCCCTGTCAAACCTCGAGACCAAATCCCCTCCAGAAGCCGACGACAGGAACAAGTCCCTCCTTGAAACCCCCCAAGATGTGGTGATTGTAAAAGCCCCGGACACTACTATTTCGACGGAGGAATTGGCTGTTGGGGTTCTCAGCGGATGTTCGGGTGGCAAGGGGAACCAGGAGAAGGACATTAGAGGTGTAAATGAAGAGGACCAACTCGAGAATGTACACCCGTATGACCACTCGCTACATCTCAAAGATCTCAACTCGACCCTCGAAGGCACCGTAGCCATCACCAAATCCACCTTCGGCCTTCCCCTCCCATCCCAGATAAAGACACCAGCCGCCAAGGTAGAAGAATATGGGCACTGCAAGATTTTCAAAAGCACAGTTATTACCCCAAGAACCAGAACAACCGCCCTCTGCCTCCTCCCCTCCAACACAGAATTGAGCCACGCCGCGAGTTCTTCCACCCTCTCCTCCCATGCCAGCACGGATACTGGGGAAGCTGGTTTTAGCCTCGTCGGGTTCAGAGAGACTAAATTGGAGTATGACCTCACGGATTTGTTCGTTGGGATTTTCAAAGAGGTTGGAGTGGTCGATTTGGCGCTTAGCCCCTGTACCTCGGCTGGGACTACAGGACCTTCGTCTCAGGACCTTCCGGCAGAGAAGAAGGAAATCGCTGCTTCCCCTGTAGATGCTAGCGATGGGGTCGCCGCAACTTCTGATATTGGGAAGGAGAAGAGGTCTGCAGTTCAGAAGGTATTTTCAAAGCTTAGGAAAGCTAGTAGTGTTAGGAAAGGCACTGTCAAGTTGTTTGGTAAGTTCTCGCCTATGCCGGTTGATGTTGTGGAATAGAGCCATGTGGGGCGGCGGGCTAAGAGATACTTTCCTGTGTGTTTTTGTATTATTACTTTCGCCCTTTCAATTGCTTTACTTCTAAATTTACCCACTCTGGCGCCAAAGCCACGGGACATATCGTTGTGTTGTTTGTAAAGGGGGCTTTTTTTTTTTTCTCTTTCAAAAAATATATACATTCGCCTTCCTTTTATATGATCGGGTGGAAGTAGTGTGATAAATCTCCTTCTAGAAATGCCGGCATGGAAGCTATTTACCGTACCTGCCTCACAGCAGAGGAGAGTAAGAGGGATCTTTTGTCCCGAATGCCGCCTGTGACCCATGAGAAGGAACCCGATAGAAGTGTTTCACGAGAAGTTTATCGGTTATCTTCCTATAACAAGTAGGTACTATCATCCATCACTGGCGTTGTTGGAGTAAGTTAACGACCGATAGTATCGCAATTCCTGGAATGGCTGGAGGTCATCTACTGCCAATAGACTAACACGTAGGCTATACAGTCCACCGCACTTTCCACGATAACCGAACCGAAGAGCAGCGAGCCTTCTTCTGGATCCGGGGGCTATGGGGGAGTTGGAATTTGTCTTTTGGTTTATACAGATCGCCAAACAAGACATCGTCGGGCCTTCTTTATCCATTGCGATGGAATCAATTTTCTTCTATGCTCTTTATTGATCGCTCCTGGGCGCTGAGACTGCTCCCCCCCACCCATGATATTTACTTACTAGCGGTTAGGTTTGATCCCTCTTTGGGAAAACGTCTATCCACCTCGATAAACCTATGATAGGACAGGCCCGGAGGAGCGAATGTATGCCGTACCGGGAAACCGGCTTTACCAACTATGCCCCTACCGGTAATCTGCGATTATACAACTACTAAAGAGCCGGCGGTAAATAGCGCCAACGGGAAAAGGTTGGGAGTTCAGCATTCCATTCATGCCGTGGATGTATGATGGCAGGCTTTTTTTTTTTTTTTTTACCATGCAACTCAGCCATCAAACTCATCCCGATGCTCGGGATTCTTTTTTCCATAAAAGGCCATAGAAGTTTGCGGAAGCGTGCGGTAGACACCACCAAGACCTCCGCCCCCCGCGCCGCACTTTCCTTCCGGCCTCACCTCTGCTCCGTCCAGATAATCCCGCATCGCAAACTGTTTAATCCCGATTTACCGGGCTGGAGACGTCCATTCGGGCAGGGATATATGTGTGCCCAGCCCCCAAGCTGCCATAAGCATTAGCGAAGACAGAAAGTCGCTCCACTACTCGTACAGTACAGTACAGTAACGGCCGGGCAGGTCGATGCACACACACACATCCCCCCCCGAAACCCTCCGAGATCGGAGCAATCACGTTATATCACTCGGATAGCCGGTAACTGTGGAGACGGACAGATGGGCGGAAAGGATATGGGAAAAGGGAAAGAAAGGGAAAAAAAGAAGAAAGAAAGAAAGAAGGGATCCGTCATGATATGTAGTAGTGCCTGCAATAGAAGAAGAAGAAAAATTACTTCCTTCCCTTCTCCGGAGTATTGTACTTGTGGTCGGGTGTGGTAGTGGAATTTTCTTTTATGATAATAATTATTATTATCATACTCTACTGGGAGATGTGGCGCAATATCTCCTGTGCCACCCACCAGAGGCTGGAGTAAATACTCGAGTACAGTACAGTACACAGCAACATACCCAATTCTTAACTTTTTCGTTTTTTTTCTTTTTCCAAATCCAAGATTCAAGATGTATAGATAGATATACATCATACTGTAGCTCCTCGCAAAAATCCACAATTCTAATTCAGCGCGTCGGTTTGCCGAACTGACGATCCCCACGGGCACGATAGGTATCCACTGTCCGACCAATAACGACAGCGCACGTCTGTGTGGTGCTGAGATCTCTTCTTAGGAAGCCTCCCCCATCCAGCATTGCAGTGGCGTTGGAGGCATGGTATTCCTTCCGCCTTCCGGGTATGCTCCGTTGTTGATGCATGAGGGGGGAGTATGATATATGGTAACAAATTTGATTTGATCTCTTTGGTCGTGGGGTCTCTTTTTCCCCACGTTTTCGGTACTTAGCTGGTGATGATTTAGATCCTGGACTATCTAAATCACCGATTCTCACTCTCCCGGTAACCTCTTCCGAATTGTGGAGAGGGTGAGGAAGCGAGAGAACTAATGTTGCTTCTCCCTATCATGATAATATCATTGCTTACATACGTAGAGGGGGGGTAACCGTTGGGAGGAAGAAAATTATCCGGTAGACTATCGAGCAGTTTAGAAGTGAATGTGAATGAGTGCGAAAACGACGAGAGAAATCTATAGGAAAAAGACTAGGCATTACCGTAGCGGTGCTGTTGCTAGAACGCTCAACTGATGAGGAGGGGAATTTCGCAACCTCGAAAAAGGAAACCATTCCATTCATAATTAATCCCGCATAAATCCCTAACTGCCTAAAGTACAAGAAGGAGAGGAAGAAAGAAAGAAAGAAATATCCCCCTCCCGAAAAGAAGCGAGTCAATTTCTCTCCACTCGCCCCCTCGTCACAAATCATCTCTTACTCAAAGGAATCCACGGCCTTATCATTGGATTTATGTCCACCGACTCCATCCAAATGCACTTTCTGCTCCTGCTGCTTCCCATACGCCTCGTATCGCCCGTAACTATGCGCTTCCTCGTTGTCCCTGTACTCTCCCCACAACTGGCGCTTTCGTAGTTCGGAGTCGTAGAACCTGCCCCACTCGTGCAGGCCTTCGTTATTTTTGAAGCGGCCATAGTCGTGGTATTCTGGGCCTCCGTCTTCCTCCTCCTCCTCCTCCTCATATCCCTCGGATGGGTATTTGGGGTGTTGGGGAGAGGGTGAGGGTGAGTAGTGCGGGGTTGGCGTAGTTGAGTAGTAGCTTGTGGGGGAGGGACGGGGGTATGGTGTTTCGGCGGGGTATTGGGGCATGGAGGAGAAGTGTCTTGTTGTTGAGGTCCCGTAGGAAGATTGGGAGGATCGGGAGGATCGGGAGGAGTATCCGGGTGTGGAATATGCGGTCTCCACGCCCCATTAGTGCCAATCGATCATTCACACCCAGGATGAGAATACTGACAGTAGTACCGGTGGTGGTACTCAACCTCGTAACCGTAACAGTACTAATAACCCTACTCTCCGTAACGAACACCACTGTCGTTGGGGCCTCCAGAACGGTGACCGTGCTCCCAGCATAGGTAATGGTGGTCGGTTCGGGACAGTAGGTATTGACAGTGACGGGCACCATGACTATCACTTCTTCTTCCTCATAGACTTGCTCCGCCCATCTCTCGTACCAAACCTCGCACTCCGCGTCACCGTGCTCGAGACAGCGTTCAACGCGAACACGAGAGTACCTTCCCTCGCTATAATCGACGTAGGAAATGGCATACTTGGTAACGATAGCCTCGACATAACAGGCCGCCGCCGACGACGTTGTCGCAGCGGCCTCCGTTGGCCTTCCATGGTTACTGCAAAGTGCACCACCACCACTTCCACACGCCGCCGTGCGCAGAGCGTAGGTATTAGCATGCGAGAAAGTGACCCACTGTGCGCAATCCGTGATTGTACAGGCACATCCGTAACAGGGCACCACCGCCGAACACCAATTGTACGTCCGCGTCGCGTACACAGTTGTGCAGTCGGAATTGTCCAGGTTGCAAACGGCGCACCCGGGGACGTATGTGTGCACTTCTTGGAATTGGCGGGTGACGGGGTAGGCGACGGCGTTCGGGGATGGGGTTATCATGGTGTAGGTTGTGGTTGTTGGCCCGCCATTGTCGCAAGCTTTGACCCTACAGATGGGGGAGAAGAAGAATAATAGAAGGGAAAGGATGAAATGGCACAGGAGTCCCATTTTACTTTACTCTATTCTATCTTCTTTCGCGCTGCTCCTATCGGGTGAAATGAGTGTGGGAGGGGGGCTTACCAGAGTCGTTGTCGTAAATGAGTGTCGTGATTCGAGTTGATAGGGTCCCCGGGAGGGGGATATGGTGGGGGCTTTTTGTATGGCGGTTGTTTTGGCCATAGTTTGGATTGTTTTTTGTTTTGCGGTGGCTTTTGTTCGGGCATTCTAGTGGGTATCGCGAGAATGTAGAGAGTACTGTACTGGGTCGCCATTGATGTGAAGGGGTCTGAAGAATGGTGGTGACATTCCAGCTGATAATTAGAAGTGAGGAGGGATGCCAAAAGCACAGTACGAGTACGAGTACAGTATTGGTACTCCCTTGCCTTGGTTGGAATGGTAAAACACCTCCTTATCGATTGCAGTATCGGAGAAACATCAGGGGCCATGGTAGCTCTACCAGGGAGGAACAAGACAATTTACAACCATTCTTCCTTCCCTTTTTTTCAGGGTACTCGAGTACAGTACCGGTACAATGCCCGAGCAGCGCAAAGATAGCACAGATGCATGGTCACGATACACCGGTACCTGCACAGTACGTGTAACTCTTTAATACTTGTAAGACAAACGGAAGGGGAAGCTCCTTGCTGCTACTGTTGGTTCACGTGCGCATCCCACACTCGAGTACTGTACAGTACCCGTACTCGTACTAGCACCGGTACCGCAAGACTACAAGTACTGTAGTCGAGTACTGTACTCGTACCGGTACCCGCAGTAGCAGATTACCACGCAGCCCAACCACCCAGGTAACAGTTCTCGGGCTGCACGGCTAAGATGGTCCGCAATCCACCGGTAGTGCACCACGGTCCCCTTCCACTGCAACGTCCTTACCGCATTTCCACATTGGGAGCGAGAAATCAGCAGGCGAGAGGTCCGGAGAAAGGCGCTCAATTATGATGATACCCGTAGCCATTTCCCCCAGCGAGAGGTTGTAGAGTATTGTACATACGCACTAACGAGCTCTCCAGGAGTTGAAGCCGGCGAACTCGTAGAAAATGTATGATAGGAGAGGAGTCCTAGGTCCCCAAACGCGCCGTCCATATCGCCCCTTATCACGTCAATGGCCGAAGAACCTTATACCCCTATTGAACCATCTTGTTCTGTTTTGTTTTGTCTTGCTTTATTTTGCTTTGCTGGTCTGTTGGTTTTGCTTTGACCCTCCTCTCTCCTGATCCACCCGAAAAGTTCAAACCCGAGTGACAGCCGGTGACGGCTCGAATAGCATAACATGCGGCTTGCGACCCGCAGTCCACGAGCAACGGCACCGGTACTCTACAGTATGATACCATTCGAAGGTAAAAAAAGGGCGGCAGATGATGACTTCATCCTTCCACACGCCTTCCAGAACAACCGTTGACCGTGGTGCAACAGTAATCAATCTATCTGGCGCTTAAACGAGCAGATCGTACTATTGTGCAGTGCTCGTACAGTACGGTACTCGAGTACAGGTACATGCTCGAGTAGATTTCCTACTCGAGTAGAGAGGTTGTGGGGTAAATTAACTCACTGGGCAAAGGCTTGCCATCCTTTTCCCCTTCCTTCCAAAGCTCTCTCTGCTTACTGGTGCGGTGTGATATGATACAGCCACTGAACTCGAGAACCCATGGTATATCTGGCTCCTCGGAGCGAAAATTTCAGCACGGCTGCCCATGCTGTGAGCGGATTGCCTAATCAAGTTCCGAGGCGGCGTGTTCTGGCCCCCTTTCGCAACCTTTGGAAGCTTATCATGCGATAACATCACGGTAGCAGTATTCGCTCGATAGGGAACTGGAGGGAGTTGAGTGGTACGGTACGCTTCTTTATCCCAACCGCGACCCGGGTGCGAAGGATGCATTATCCATATCCGGTGGTTGATCTGATACTTGTCTGCCCGAAGCGGAAGGAGTGAGATATCGTACCGGTACTCTTTCACTGTGAGTGCATGTGTCGTGCCCCGGAATTTCTGTTCGATGCAGGCTCGCGGCGTAGGAATTTGGATACCGGGATCGAGTTTGTGCAACTGATGTAAATTGACATATCGGTACCAAATCTGGTCATGTTTGTCATTATTTCAGCGTTTTTCTCGTGCTAAGTTATTGCTCCGCACTCGTACTCATTTGATACGAACGATTGCTACCATTTCTCGGCATCGAACGGGGGAAATGAGGTGATCAAACGAGGGAATTTAGATTTCGATGAGATCTGCGTCACTGAGCCTCTCTCTATTTGGGGTTCGGACGAATGTGAGGGTGGCGGTTCGATTTTGGAACGTCTTACTTGTGCTGTATCGTACAGTACTGTGCAGTAAGATACACGCGCGGCCCGGCGCCCGGGTTGAAGTTGGGCATTTTGTATGATACTCGTACGTATGGGAGTTGCCATCTTACAGAAGCGGTCCACCTTCAACTCGGGCGTGGGAGTAAAGTACCGCACTGCACAGTACTGTACTCGGGTACCTGTTGGTTGGTTCGTTAACGCTTACGAGTAGATGGGATGGGGCATCCATCCACTTTCTGCTCTTCATCCTCCTCCCCCTTTCCCCTTTCCACGACACCGCACTGCACTCAGGGCTCCATTCCGATAGTTCTGCTTTCAAAACTCAATTCCCTTTCCGCCATCACAGTCCCACGGAATCGGCCACTTCTCCTGCACCTGCATTAACCTATCGGTACAGTATCTCTCGTTCCCCCTCTCTCGCTTCCCATACATATCGTTTTGTCCTGCAGACCGTTCACAATAACCCCAACAATCTACCGGTACCTGTATCAGCTAGACTAGGATTAGAATCAGGATCACTCCCACACACACCATCATCACGAAAAAGAAACTACTGTACTGTACTCGAGTACCGTACTAGAGTGAGGGTCCAAGCAGCAAAAGCGGGAATTCCACTCTTCCGGCTACTCCGCAGAAAAACAAAAAGGTCCTTTTTCTAAGCCCTTTTAACCTTTTGCGCACGTCTTAATGGCGCATGGCACGGGGGTCGGGGGGGAAGAATATGGAAAGGTGATGAGGGGGGGCTAGGGCATTCTCGGTAAAATTGCTCTCTGGGGACAGAGTGGTTAGCGCCAAAAAGTAAGGGTTCCTGCTTTCTGCACTGTTATCCTTTCCCTCTTTCTCTCCTCACTCATCCCCCCCTGTGCTTGTAGGGGTGTTGTCTGGGACACCCACTAACGACGGAGGAGGAGCACTCGTATGATACGAGTACGGTAGGAGGGTGACCTGGGGAATATGATATACCTGGGGCCATTCCCCCCCTCCCCAGGCCACGTTCCTTTCTCACCTGCTCGCTTTGCTTGCTTGTGGGTCTCCTTGATGGGTTTCGTTTATCCTCTGCTATTAGTGCTCATGACAATGACCGAATGACCCATTCGCTTCTCCACATTCTTTAATACTGGTAACATCTTACCACATAACCTTTTTTTCTTCTTCTTCAAAGCGCACACTCTTTCTACAATTTCGGGAAATTGGGGTTCCCCACGATTACAAAGAGGGAACGAACGACCCGCAATACGGTAAAGATCGTAATGACACGGGAAATCCCCGACGTTCACCCGGGCACGCAAATCATTCCTCCATCACCACCTCCAATGATCTCGACCCCACCACCACTCCGACAACCACCTCAACGTCCGCCTCCAGCGACACCTATATCCATGCGGGTACCCTCCTCACTCGCATCCGTACCTGTCTCGATTCCCTATAGTAACACCCGCAACCAGAACCAAAACAACAAGCACAGCCGCAACATTAGCAACACCACTACCCACGCCTCCCGCTCGACTCACGGTAGGAAGATCTCCCTGACGGCCTCACCGGACCAAATTCTCCGAAGTATAAGGGATTCCACTCGGGACTCCTACCAGAAGATCAAGGAATTCCCCGCGGGCTTCCAATACGCCGTCACCCCATCTGCTCCGAGCATCCAGACCTTCTCCACGAACGCTGGAAGATCGATGCACAGTTTTTCTGGAGCACCGGTGATCCCTTCTGGCCCCAGCCGCACAGCACCCACCGTTGCCAAGGCTGGATGCGCGGGGCGGTACATGGGGTACATGGGCGAGATACGCTGCCGGGTCAAGGGCATTCTCAGTGGCTTCCACTTTTCAATATCCGTGGGGTGCACGCTTCCGGTTGAAGAAGTGGAGCGGAGGAGAGAACGCACCCTGCGAATTAAGAATAATAGAAATGGATGCTGCATATATGAAGTGTAATCCTCCCATTTATCCCCCGATATATTCTATTCCGAGGTTAACTTCTCCCATAGCGAAACCTCCTCAACGGGGCCAACACTAATACCCCTCCAATCCCTAAAACCCCTTCTGCCAAACTCAAAATATCTACAAAAGTCATTAATAGACTGGAACCGCCATTTCCAGTCACCGCCGGCACACTGGGTCATAAACTTTATCCCCCGCGCATACCTACGTCGTGGGTACTACCTCGCCGAAGACGTGTGCGAATACCTACTGCAGAACCCAGATGGGTGCTTGTACAGGATTGAGTACGAGCCGATTGGTCATGAGAGTGTGCTCGTGGGCTCGATTGTGCCGAGGGGGCTTGCCCGACGGGAGAGGAATCCGAGTCGGCATTGGGAGGGGAGAGAGAGAAGAGGGGTGCTCGGCTATTGATGGGGGGTGGCTTTTTGATTGTTTTTGATTAGTTTTTCGGTTGATTATGGGCGTTTAACATGGCGTTTTTTGTTTGCTTTTTTATCTCGATTGCGAGTTTTGTCAGGAATTGGGGGCGGTAGGTTGCGTGCATACAGTAGAGGGGGCTCGGAGGCTATCATCTGTTCGTCATTCATTCATTTCAGGACGGGAAATTTTTTGTTTATTTACTTTCGTGATAATCATAGCTCGCTTGCGTTAACATTCGTTCTCGTAAGACAGCATATCACTAACAGTGGGACTGGTGCCGGTACTGTACTCACTCATTCATCGGTGAATCATCACTACACCACCCCCCGCCCCCTTCTAATCTAGGCCTTCAAAAACAAGACAGAGGGGAGAAAACAAAAGGGAGAAAAAGGATAAAACAAAAAAGGGGACATAATAATCTCTACAAGTAACACAATAAGACCCTGGGACACCGAGTATGATACCATGGACCTCCTATGTATGCCGATCGGTCGATCAATCAAACCCTTGCTACACATACTGTACTCGTACAAGTACCCCAAAATTCCAGAGCCCAATCCCGGGACATTCCTACAACGCCACGGCCAATCCCCAGAACGCCACGAGGAACGCTAGCAAGTGGCTGGCCGGTGCGCCAGATGAGAGCGACGAGGCAACATTCGGACGGCTGGGGTCTGTTGGCACTGGGATTCCGACGCTCGGGGCGGTCGGCGATGGGGAGGTCGTGGGAGGGGTGAAAACCTGGGAATAGGGTGTTAGAGTATTGGAGTTTGTGGGGAATGGGGGAGGGAGGGCTCGAGTTGGTTGTGTACGGGTTATGGGGGACGGTGTGTACGAGGACATAGTTTGAGTTGGGTTGTTTTCTTTCTTTCTAAGTCTATTTTCTTTTTGAAAAAAACAAACGAAAAAAAACGAAAAAAAAAAACCGAGCATTTCAAACGCGCAAAGAATGGAACAGGCAGGCAGAGCGAAATGTGCGACCCCTCCCCTCCACCCCCTCTTTCACCACTGCCTCAATTGCGTACCTTGAATGGATGCGCTTCCGTATTAAACACCCACTTCTGTTCTGCGCCCTTGACAAACCCGACTTTTCCATCCTCTTGGAAGATCAAATACAGGTACTTGAGCACCTCAGCGAACCAGAAGCTCTCCTGATTATCAAACTTTGACCCGCCATTCTCCTGGCCGACGTCGGACACGGCGGTGAAGCCAGAAGCCGTCCTCGCGGTGGCGTTAATTGCCAGGAACGCATCCCAGGCCCATTCTCTGTACTTCTCGTCTCCGGTAGCGACGAAGGCGTGGTAGTAGGACTCTATGACCTCGGGGCGGAGGTCGTAGTAGGAGGCGGTGGTGTAGAAGCCGTTGCGGGCGTAAAAGTCGGACTGTGCGGCAGGCACATTTCGCGGGTCCCAGGACCAGCGTTCCGGGCCGATGGACGAGGGGGTGCTGTCGTAGGTGTGATGGCAGCCGGAGGTTAGGGCAAGGCCGTAGTCCGTGTACTCCTTCCTGGACAGGACTTGGCCGCCTAGGATGAAGTTCCCGCCGATGAAGCAGGTTAGGTGGCCCTGGTTCAGAGATAAAGTTTGCGCGTTTTGGTACTCTGCCACGAAGGTGATGTCTTGACGAGGTTGCGGATGGCTGGTTAGGTGTTTTATTGTGGAGTCCGCTGCTGCAATCCATCTGTGGTGGTGGATGCATGATTTTTGTGGTCAGGCAACGGCCGTTTCAAAGTTTTGTATATAATCATTGAGGAGGAGACTGGGTGGTTTAGCGGGGAGGGAGGGTTTGGCATTGTCATACCTTTCCTTGTAGAGACCGTATTTCTCTTCATCGTAGACCCACATTTTAATGAGATACTCATAAAAAGAATCGGTTCCACCGCCCCATCCTCCGCGCGAGTCGATGAATTGCCCGGTTTTGATGTCCACATTTGTTCCGAGCAATCCCGGGAACGGTTCGCCCAGGGATGGGGTCGGCCTCAGAAGGTAGGACTCGGCTTTCTGGGAAAGCTCTGCATACTTCCGATTGCCGGTGATATCTGCTAGACGTGTCCACTCGAGAACTAGGGTACCGGTAGTCGCGATACCGTTGGTGGTGTCGGTGAACGACTTATTCGCGAAGTTGAGGTTATTGGCTGGTACGCCGGAGGCTGTATCAAAGCCGAAGGCGAGGGCGTCTGCCAGGATAACCGCCTGGTCGACAAGAGAGCTGATAAGCGTGGTCGAGTTCTACACTCGTGTTAATATCACAACCTGTGAGGGTGTAGCTTTGTGGGGAAAATCTTACGCTAGGCAAAAGGTCTTTATAAGGGCCCATAAGAAGGTCATAACCGGAGAGAAGACCTCCGAGGTATCGAATCTGATCTTGGTGAGCAGTTTCCTCTTAAGAAGATCTTATAGTTTTTACGCGCGCGTACATACCGTGGTTTCGAAAAGACTTACGGTAGTGGCGGTGTTGGTAAAATCTACTGTTTTGATATGCTCTAGTTGTTTCAGAACAACATCATCTAGCTCCATTAAGACCGCTGTGCTCATCGCATCGACGATAGAGGCTCCCCATCCATTACTGCATCACTCGTCAGCGCTGCGGGATATCATGTGCGCGGGGAAATACTGGCGGCAAACCGAGAATTTGTGCCCTTGTTGGAAACTGGCGAAAGCTCGTCAAATCCAAATGCAAACTTGGTATACCCGTTCCAAGAGTGCAAGAAGGCCTCCTTGACAGCGTCGGTGCGCGCATTGGTGGCCTGTCGTTTCCTTGCTTCAAGGGGGATATTTGGAGCTCCCAATGTTGTCGCCGCTATGAGAAGCGCGGTCAATAAAGTCCGTGAAATATGCATGGCACAATAAATTCAATCCCTGGGGATTTTTTTTGGGTAATGAATATTGAGAGCGGCGACCCTTAACTTTGGAACCAAATTGTGAGGTTCGGCCGCATACTTATATTCCAGTAATTGTCCGCTTCCGTCAGGTGGTTGGTTGAGAGCTTGTGACAAGGGAGCTATTTAGCGCCAAGAACGAGTTGTGGGGTTATTGGGCGGTGATCAACTGTGTCAGATTGTCCAGGATTGGCCAATAGATTACCTGTGGCCAATTTTGTGGAGCTTATTTCGAGAGTTCCCCTCCTTACTACGGATTAGGCATATTAGTTCAAATTCCCCACTGTAATGTGAAACGAGGGTTACCGATTTGTTTGAAGTGTTGACTGCTGGCAGCAATAGGATAAATACCGGTACTCGAGCACTGGTAATTGCTAAAATTATATAATACCGGTAACAGACGATGGCTACGGTACAGGATACAACCGCATTGGGGTACCGTACCGGTACGGTAGTTCGCATTCTCCTCCAGGGGCGGTGCAAGTACGGTATTCGAGACGAGTGAAATATTACTCATCGTACCGTACCGTACTTTGTACCTGAGTCGTGCTTTGAAGAGTGTGGCTTTGCTCATCCTTGAATTAAACAGGACAATGTAACCTGGCGGCCTATCTTATGTTACCCACAGCCTGGAGACCCTCCGGAGAATGAGGGTGTTAGGGGACTGCGGTAGTCGCCCAATACGAGAGACACGCAGTCGGAACTGCTGAGCCAAACCTCAGCCATCACAAATTTCAATGACTGCGCCCCCGCCCCCCGTCGCGCAGTAGAAGAGGGTTGGTGAAGTCGTAAGTCCCCCTAATATCTCGGGAGAGGTATTTCCATGGGTAGGTGTGGTGCGGGTGCGGTAGTCGGCTGTCTGGTTCCTTGAACTTTGAGGGGTTTAGTGGGGTAATAGTGTTATATCACTTCTGTCAGGGGGAAGGAGGGGACAGAAGGGGAGTAAATGGAAGATCCCATAAATGGGGAGGAGATTATCTTGTATGGGGAGAAATCTCCGTGCCTCCCGTTCACAAAAATCCAGAGTACCGGTGTAGTTGCGAAGAATTATAAGAGAATGTTGGGTTCGAGTATCTCGGAAGTCCAAGAGTAAATCACAACAAGAGTCTGAGGTTCGTCCTCTTATATTCCCACCAGAGTTTTGCAGAACCTCACTTTGTCACTATAATAATACTATTAGGATCTATTCTTCCCTTGTAGGGCGAAGTTCTAGGAATTCTCTCCAGGTTGCTGTTACCGTAGCTATCATACCGCGCGGCAATACCACCTGAGCCTCATGCATCCGAGCATCCAGTCTTGATTAAGGATTTTTGCCTAATTTGGTTTCCCCTTCTTTCCTCCTCCCCAGCCCCCTACTTTTCTTCCGACCGGCAAACACTCATACTAGAAACTCGCGATCGCGGTCCTTCTACTAGTATCCGCGCGCACAAATTCAAGGGCATGGGAGAGGTAGTAGTTGTAATACCGATATTAGCTTCATATTTTGTGTGAGTACTAACTTTACTGCTCGACTTTGGATTTTTTCTTCACCCAATTCCTCCTCTTCTGACCAGGTTCGACTACTGTCAGTTCTAGTATTTGGAAGATCCAATGGGGAAAGAAGCTTGATGCATTCCCGACCTGAAGGAAGCCTTATCTTGATTAGAATCGGCTGAACACATCCAGACAGGGGATGAGTGCTAATGAAACCGACGGATAATGGGAGAGCAGTAGGTTATTGTGCAGAGTTGTCTGCCGGTATTTCGTTCGAGCATGCCGTAGCGGTGCATTCTCTGATCCGATCACTGCTCCGGTGGATGCTGGGGGAAAGAGATTTGATCGGGGAGCTTGAGAATGGGGATGTCAAAGAAATCATCAACAGTCACTCGATGGTATATTACAATTAGAACGGCTATGACAGACTCTTTATTATCTCCTTCTGGGTGACTATTTTCTGGGGGCTTACAGATTTATTATATTATGGGATCTTGCCTGGCGGGTAATAAGGGGAGACTGCCGAGTCCCCTTCAACGTGCGCCATCCTTTGCGGCACGCAGTACAGTACAGTACAGGCAGCAGGGGAGGGAAATGGCAACCACGAGATCTGATGTCGATCAAGTTGTCGCTGCTCCTCCAGGTAGGGAAATAGGTTGGTCAACAAACGGAAACGGAGACTGCCGAACGGCCAAACGACAGCGAAACCCGGTGATCCCAAGCGGCCAGTCGGTCCGGCTTTGAGTACGGCCGGACTGTGGGAAAGCGGCTTTTGCAAACCAAAGCCGGGCCCGGCCTGGGTCACCTGGAGGCCGATGTTTCAAGGGATTGCTTGTTTTTTCATTACTAATAAATATTTTAATATTCAACAGGATTAATTTTTTTTACGAGTCACTCGGTTAATACATATTCACCCAAGCTAGTTAGAGAGTTGTGTGAAGAATGATATAGAGTATCTTGAGGTTGGACAGTATATTGAGGTATCATGGTTGTTTATGGGTGGATGACATAGATTTGGATTGAGCGAGTTATAGCGCCGGGTGCATGTTGCTACTATTATCCTATTCCGAGTGATTTAAAATGGAAAGCCTGCCAACAACAGATATCTTTAGATTACCTGGGCATCTGGCGGCTTTGACCTGTGTTGCGCTAAGACTCGACCTGGCGGTTGCCTGGGTGCCGCCGGGCTTTGGCGGCCACTGAGAATTTCGACCGGACTGACCGGACTGCCGACCCGTGGTCCGGACTATGGCCCGGACTGGTCGCTTGGGATCACTTGGGAAACCGAGACTTAATTTTTTTCGACACGATGAAAATCTACCCGTATTACCTAGCCTCACTGGGTTTGATTGCTGAAACATTTTCTTCGCTCCTAGATAGGGTCCTTGGGAAAAGAAGACCGCAGACGGAGGAAGATGGGATATGAGGAGAAAGTTAGGGAAACTAGCTTGACTACATACTGCACTGCGCCGCTATGCCGGTAAGTTAGAGCATAAAACCGTGATTGTGCAGCAACTATCTTCAGTGCTCGAATAGTCCTATCTGTAGTGTGAGATGTCATGATACCTAGCAACAGTCCTACCATCCCTTAGCCAGACCATTTGGAAAAAAGAAAAAAAAATCGAATTTTCTTGCCACGAGGGATTGCAGTGTGTTCCAGTTCTCGAGTAGCTGGTGGCATAAAAATTGGGATTGTGGTGGAGGTATGATACCTCCAAAATGTTGTATACCCAGTTGTATGGCTAATTGCGGTTGGGATGGCAATGGTATTGGCAGGACCTAAGCGCTGGAATTTGAGGATACTCCATGAGATTTGGTGAATATTTGGTTGTGTCTGTGTTACGTGGTATGGGGTGCAAGGGATAGAGGCATTGCAGGTTCTTCACACATTTGTAGAATGTACTGTACCCTCGTACAAGAAATTGTCTGGAATCAAGGGTCCACTAGCATTTATTATTTCCCATCAGTAATAACGTACCAGTACAATATCGGTACTTTATATCACCGAGAACTGGATCAGTTATCCTAAACTGAGCGGCGGTGAGCCGTGGATTCCTTTTTATGATAAACTTGGCGGTACTGTTCGTACATACCTAGTATTAAGGTTGATTTTAGGGGATTTCTCATAGATTAGCTATATGCCAACCCACGGATAGTAATTACTTGATGCAGAGTGGAGATGCAGACTGCAGAGGCATCCACGCTTATATTATCCTTAGAAATTTACCAATTTCTAAGCTATTATCTTGTCTTGACCACTTTTTTAGAAAAACCGTTAGGCCACTATTATGATACCTTACAAGTTTGCAGGATAGGCTCCAGCTACCCCACATTGTTGAGTGGAAGAAAGAAAAACAGTTGTGAGAAATTCGGTACCGTTTTCAATATTTTTTCTTTACATATTATAGTAATATGCATGGCTTTATCATGGAATATAAAAATGACTTTTTTGAATTGGCTTTATGATCCCCTTATGGTAAGAAACATAATATTATTCTGATATGATAACTTGCTATTTTGCCGTGTTCCTGCCCTTGTCCTAAAAGGTTCAGTGATGCCCTCATTAAATTCCCCTTTACACACCCACAAACTCATCCACTCTCCAACCGTATCCTCTATTTAAGCTTCCTTACATACCTCCTCCCCCACAGCATCTTCACCCCCAAACTCTCCACTTCAATTCACACAATCATATTAACACCTTAATTCACCACCTACCACCTTTCTTCCACTATGACTACGGAATCGGTTTCAGGTTCACCACATATGAATACTGCTACCTCTCTATTGGATCTTGCAGAGCAAGTCTCGGCAGCTGCTTCCTCTATTAGCCAATACCTTCGCTCAAAGTCTCTTAACGATCCTACTTTTAGTCCTACTTCTCCTGGACTTCCGGAAGACCCAGAGATTGAAAATGCGAAGGAGTCTCTTTTGGTAGCGTCTAAGGCTCTGACTGTCCTTGCGACTAACCCACTTGCTTATCTTCGTGATCATTTTCTTTCTGTATGGACATGCAATGGACTAATTCTCCTCTTCATATATTTAATATCTGACTTGATTTTAGTTTATCGATTCAACTGCTTATAGGGTTGTTGTGGACTGGAAAATTGCGCATATTTTAAGCACTGCTGGTACTCCAATGCATATCTCTGAGCTTGCAGAGAAATCTGGTGCAGATGAACACAGACTTAGTAAGTATCTAAAATTAAAGATATGATTTCAAATATTTTTATTTATTTTTGGCTAACTGTCTTAGTGACTGCCATGAAAGTACTAGCAAATTCCTATGTGTTTTCTGAGGTCAAGCCTAATGTTTGTAAGTTGAAATCTGATAATTTTGAATCCAACTACCAAGATCAGAGAAGAACTGACCGTTGCCATAGTTGCTCATAATTCTGTTTCTATTCACTTGACCGATAAAGGTGTGGATGATTTTATCACTTACGGGTAAGACGAGTACTTCTACCCAATTAATAGAAAGGGTATACTAACTTAAAAAAAGTATGGAGGTTGTTTATATTACATCCGAAAAGTATGGTGAATCT